AAGCCAAAAAGTAACAATATAGATTTTCAAAAGAAGATGATAGGAATTTAACAATGGGTGTTATATTGCATATTGTTATATTTAAAAGAATTGCTTAGATTACCAGATACAGATGTGCAAAATTGGTCAAATTATTTTCCATCATGAATATCTACTTAAGATTCCTTATATCACAGACAGTAAAAGTCTTCCTTTGCTTCAAGTGCCGGTGTAATGTAATTCATCTCTCTGCCCATATTGTCCATTGCTTCTTATTGTACCTGTTTATTCTGTTCCCAGATGGTTTACCATGTTGCCGTTAGGACTGAATCAAGACAGGTGGATATTGCGAGCAAGCTTAAGATTTGGTGCTCCTTCTAACCATTCATTCATTAAACAAATATTTATTGACTATGTATTATGTGTCAAAAATGGTTCTAATTCCTTATAATATATCATAAATAAAATAGACAAAGATCCTTATTAATAGTCTAGGGGAAGATAGATGGTTAAAAATTAAGATGAATTAGTTGCATAGTATGCATAGTGTGTTGCATAGTATGTTAGTGCGTAATGTCCTAATAAAGAAAGAAAAGGTAAAGCAGAGGAAGAAATCTCTAAGATAGTGCAAGTGGCAGAAAGAGTTGGTCAGGGTGCTCTTTGTTAAGCTGAGAGTTGAGCAAATATTGGGAGGCAGGCAAGGGAGTTAGGAACCCGGGTCCTTGAAGGAAGAGTGTTGGTGGCTGAAGGAAACCAAAAAGTTTGCGGTGAGGGCAGGCCTGGGGTGCACCAGGTGGGTAAGCACACGCTCACCTCGACAGTCCTTAAAAGTCACTGAAAAATTCAACTGTAGCTCTGTGTGAACTCTCGAGTTAAGTGGGGTTTGCAGACAGAGAAAAATGATTCAACAGGTTTAGATTAATCACTTTGGCCACTGAGCTGGGAAAATAAAGACAGACACAGGAAGAACTTGGGAGGTTATTCACGTAAGTCAGATGAGATGCTGGTGATTTAACCATAGTAACAGATGTGGTGGGGTAAAAGCTGTAAGCGTTCCTGCGTGCAGTGTGTGTGTGTGTGTGTGTGTTGGATGAAATATATTGTGTAAAGTTTCTGTTACTGGGGAAAGTACCAAAGATAATCAGTTTAAAAAGGAGAAAGGTTTTATTTGGGCTCAGGGTTTCAGGAATCTCAGCCCATGGTCGCTCAGACCCATTGCTCTGGACCTGCAGAACTTAATGGCAGGAGCAAGTGACAGAGGAGGCCTATTCACCTCATGGAGGCAGGGAAGCAAAAACAGGTCAGAGGCAGGACTGAGGTGCCAATATTCCTTGCAAGAGCATGTCCCCTTGGTGACCTAGCTTTCTTCCATTAGGCACAAGCTCCCAAAGATTCCATCATCTCTCAATAGCAGCACAAGCTGCAGACCAAACCTTTAAAGAAGGCTTTTAGAAAACATTTAAACTCCATATTATAGCACTTACTTAATAGAAAAGTTGCCATTTTTTCATATTTTTGAGTGTATAGTTCAGTAACATGAAATACAGTCACCGGATTGTATAGCTATCACCAATATCCATCTCCAGAACTCTCTCATCATCTAAAGAGGAAAATCTTGGAGGAATAGTTTTTTAAGGTATGCTCAGCATGCTTTCCTAGTAGATTGGCCTATGGTACAAAAAAGAGAGGAGTCAAAGCTAGATCACTGTACTGAGTCACTGGAAAGATGGGATTGCTTTAGACAAGATGCAGGAGGGAGACAGAGCAGTCAGGGGAAGGGAGGAAGAAACAGTTCGGTTTCATCTCATGTTAGTTTTGACATCTACTAGAAATGCAAGTGCAGCCTTTGAGAATACATTTAGGTATGCAAGTCTGGAGTTCATTAGAACGGGGCTGGGTGTGTGCATTTGGGTGCCATCAGCTGATAGATGGTTTTTAAGAGGGAATGAGATAGTCGAAAGACTGATGAAAAAGCAAGAGACCAGGGGGTTAGTGCTGAATGCTGTGAGCGGTCAAGGGAGATGAGTGTCTAGGACTGACCACTGGGTCTGGTGGCTCGCGGGTCACGGGGAGCCTGCCAACCGCAGCTTGCAGGCATGATAGCTTTAAAGCTTGGCTGTCATGGATTAAGGGGAGGTGGGAGGAGAGGAACTGAGGGAAGCAAGCACGGACCACTCACTTGTGGATTTTACCAATAACAGGGAACAAGATGCAGGAAATAAAAATAATGTGTAGTTCATTTTTAATGGATGAAGTAATAAGATGTTTGCATGCTAATGAGAAATGACCAGCAGGGAGAGAAAAATGGTGACATAGGATGGGGGGGTATTTTTAAACGTGAATGCCTCCAAGTGGGATTGGGTGTAGCACTTTGACCTACATTATTTTTAGACCTGCCTTATTTATGTAACCTACATTTAATTTTGCATTCCTGGCCTAGATAGATACACCGGTAAGTGGATCTCTAACACATCACTGGAATAAGTTAGTCAAAATGTAAATTAGATCCGTTCCTGTCAAAGGAGACAAGCCCTCAAAGTGCTAATACAATGTTTCTCCAAGAAATGTTTTTTTTTTTTTTTCAATTTACTCATTCGGACATACTAGATGAAAACTGACAGTCAGAAGCAGCTAAAATTGAAAAACCAAATAACATGATGTAGTGCAGATTTTTAGGAATCAGTAATGCACTGTATTTTTATTTCCAGAAATAAGCCTTCAGATGAGCCTTAAGAAGTGACTGGCTTCTGAGTGCAGACAAGGAAGAAAGTTATGAAATCAGGATGAGTGATATAGCAGCACAGGGAGCTCAGGCCTTGTCTGGTGTTGAATTTGGGCCAGGCATCCAGGGGAGGAGTTTCACATTGGAACACCAGCATAGGTGGCCCAAAGAGTTAGCAAGGGTAAAATCCCAATCAGAGGAAGGCCAGTGCATGCACATAGGTTTGGAAGATCAAATTCCTTGAAAGGAAAGGAACCTAATATGTGTCGATTCCTGTTGTGGGTATCTTTCCTCTTTTCTGTTCTCTTTTACTGAAAGATTAAATATGGTAGCCAGTCTAAACACAGCACACGGAGCCTCAGTTCTTGGTATTAAGTTCTCTCTGTCTAGCCTCTACATTTTATTCTGGCAAAGAAAGATATGTAGGGGTTAACATGCACCCAAACCCCCCGGTTAGATTACACACTCATGGAAACCCCAGAGGATAGTACGGCCATGTTGAGCTGGCTGAATGCGTTCCTCAACTTTGGTCACGACTCCTGTCAGAGTCATTGCTCTTCAGTTTGATTCTTTTCCTCTTGTAGTCCTTTTGGACCTAGTGTTGGTGACAGTTTCGCTACTGTGGGGCCTATGCTCCTGCACAGCCTTTGTGGTTCCCTTCACCCTATCTATGGGTTGTAATTCATCTCTTTATAAATAAGCTTTTTAAAATTTATTTTAATTCATGTTTCCCATCAGAATTCTGACAGACATAGTGGCTGGTATGAGAAGTAACTCAAGAAAATATGTTCAAATTAGACCTTAGACTTATTTGGCCATATATGTAGAGGTTCAGGGATTACCTCTTTTCTAGGAGAAAGAACTCAATTATAATGACTCAAATTATAACTGGCAGTGGGCTGGGAAAAAATGCAAGAGGAGGGCCAAATGCTGTTTGTATGGAAATTCTGGAAAGTTCAAGCATGCCAATTTCAATGCAAATCCCCAGGAATTTGGAATAATTTCGTGACTCACATGACAACTATTTTCCATTTGAAAAGTAGCTCTTGGCTTGTTACTGGTGAAAGCTGAATGCTTAATCATGAATGAAATATTTATGTCATCTAAACTTCCGGTCATGAGCTTAGTGTTATCTGAAGCAATGAAATATGAAATTGGGCATGCGGAAATGATCTACCATAATATGGAAGAGGGACCCAGCAGATTAAAAAGGTTTCATGAGCAGGACACTTACACTGACATATTATCTGCTTTGAGACTTCCCTTTTGGCACGTATCAATGGCCTCATCAGCTAGTGAAGGAGGCAACAAATTCAGACAGCTCTCTATGATAAGCCTGTACCCATAAGAAATGAGCAGCCATTGTGTTGTTAGTGGTTCAGAAGTGGCTTGATACATTGTGCTGAAATAAAATCCTCCCAGGACTTCAGGAAGGGCATTTCTCTTCCTTAGGGAAAAAGTCAGTGACCCTGATTGACATTGACCCAGGAGCAAACATGTTAGCCTCCTAATCACAGGGACCTGGATCAAGAGATTGGTGACCAGGAACTCTAGGAGAGAAATGTGGCTACAACTCTTAGAATTGAGGTAGAATAAGGAAATGTCACCAGAGGTTGACTAGATGAACCATTCTGTGCAGTTAATCTTTTGTAAGTCCGGTTAGTGTTTGCTTGGTCTATCTTACTGTTACTCAGTAGCACCTGGCTTGGTAGTGCAAAAAATCATGGCCTGCTAAGACCTCAGTGACTCTGCCATCTGAAGGAACATCTCACTGGAGGAGCCCGCTCACCATTTGATCTAGTAACTCTGAGTCTGGTGGTTTGAGGGCTCTATTTCCCAAAAGAAAAATCCTTTCACTGGGGATTACTGTGTTACTGGAAATTGAAACCTCCCTCTGGGCGGGGTAGGATTCCTTGTCTCATGGAATTTGATTATCTGATTGCCAGGAGGGAATTAAGTTAGTGCTTGAGCTAGAATTGAGGACCAAGAGGACTTTGGAATTGAGGGAATGCACTGGCTTCCTTTCTTAATATTCCTAATAATAGTAGTCAATGGAACACTACAGCAAGCCTGAAGACAAGGACTCATGCCCCAGGAGGACAGATGTGAGAGCAATTTTGCAGATAAAGCACATATCCAGCCAGAGGCCGGGGTGGGGCAGAGAAGGCATCCTGGAAGAGGCATCCGCTCCTTTTAAGTCAGGACTTGGACAGGGCACACGGGCAGCAGGGAATCCTAGCGGCTGTTTTATAATATTCTTTGTTTCTTGTTTCCTCCCTACCTTACAAAATCCTTACAGTGGTTAATGGATAGTGGTTTCAGATGGAAGTTTGATTATACAGACATCACCTTGATCACAGGTAGGCGCTGATGGAAATTTGTTTGTCCCCTGTTCTGGGGACACAAGCTTCTCACTCAGTTGAAAGCCCAGGGTGGGTGCTGAGCTGTGCACGGTGCTGGCTGTCTTGCTCCCTCCTCCCTCCTGGACCCACTCTCCGCTCCTCTCCAGCCTGCTCCTGGCCCCTGCGTGGACTGTGTATCGATATCTCGCCTCCAACTGGTTTGGGCCAGTGGGGAACCTGGGCAGAGACGGATGGTGGGGACCGAGGAAGAGGGTCTGTCCTGGTTTCCTCCCTGAGAAGTTCACTGTGGCTATGTGTGTCCCTTGACAGATGGCAGCTGCTGTTTTCAAGGCAGGTGTCACTGCAGATTTCCTCTCCTCCAAGCCCCTAAACTTCCCCTCCCTCATCAGGCTTAGTCTAGTGTCATCTCTGTTCTGAGTTCCTGCACGATCTTTGTAGCTTCATCATTCTCTGCCTGTATTTCTCTAATTGCTTCTTTATGTAAGTAAGGCTTTCTCAACTTACTACAGTTTGAATGTGCCTCCTGATTTTTGTTGGGATGCTTACTGGTAATATTTCCTTCTATCTTCAAAGGGCTTTCAAGATGTTGTCTGTCTTGCTCATTTTTCTCTCATGGCTGGGACAAAACACCCAACACCCAAAGTGAAGGAAGGAAAGGCTTATTTAGCTTACAGTTTTTGGAGGTTTCAGTCCATGATCAGCTGGCTCCAAGGAAGGGTGGCATGGCAACACTTCAAGACAGCAGCCAGAGCAAAAGGGGGCAAGAGCAAACCTCTTTTCCTCCTTTATAGTGTACGCAGCCTCCACCTCCAGGGGAGGTGTGGCACTCACAGAATCTCCTTGCCCTCTTTGCACAGGATGAGAATATTTACAAGTAAGGACCCTGGCTCCCTGCTGAATCTCTCAGCTAAACTTCTAAACTTCTCAGGTTGACAAAATGTATCAACCTTAACACCATCTAAGGGCTAGGCTTGGTGGCACATGACTGTTAGCCCATCCCTCAGGAGGCTGAGGCAGGAGGGTTGACATGACTTCAAGGCCAGCCTGGGCTACAAAGTGAGTTCAAAGCTAGCCTGAACTACATAGTGAGATGCTGTTTCAAACAAACAAACAATGACTATCTAATTTAACTATCAGCACAATTCTATTGCAATAGATCTTCTCACTTATCCTCCTAATATCTATCTGCCATTGTTTGAGGTGCTTCCCACAATTGATTTAATTAGCTCACCCAATAGTTTGGCATGTTCCATATCATGTAATTCCCACCTAACAGAAAAAGATATGGAAGCACAGGAGTAAGAAATACCACCTTAGCCTCTGTCCTGTGAGACTTTTCAGCAGGAGTAGGTGTTGTTTCCCACATTTTTACAGATGAAAAACAAAGCTTTAGAGAAGTCAGGGACCTAGCTGAGATGCAGTCAGCTCCACAGTACGTTTAAAATCCAGGTCTGTCCAACCACAGAGCTCAAGTTAATCTCTAATATATTTTGCTGCTGTATCAATAGTTTTTTTTCAGGTGTCAGTCTGAACATGGGGAGACTGGGAAATCAGGTTCGATGAAAATAAAACATCCTTTAAAATTCAGAACTTACGGATGATCTTTAAAAAGGCAAATCATCTCATTTAAATCAAGACTAACCTTCCTAATAAACATATAAGCATGGCCCAGGTTTACAGCTAGTTCTTTCTTTAAATATTCAGCTTATATCTGGATTTAATCCATAAAAAGAGCCTATTTTTTAATTTAAAAAATTTTAAACAAAAGTATTGGTCCCAATTCAAAATCCCTGCTAGCAGATTTCCTAGCAGAACTTTGCTTTTTAGAATACTACCCTTCCATCTGTTTGTTAGCTAACATCAGCTCTGACAAAGTAAAGTCAAACATACTTATCATCCACAGACCAAGGAAAGACACAAACCAGACCAGGGCGGAAGGGAAACCACACTGGCCAGGGTGCCAGAAACTTCATTTTGGTTTTAGTAACAGTTTTTTATCTTCCACTAGTGAAGGCGGGCATGGTCAAGACAGTTCACGTCCGGGACTGAGGACTCTGTTTGGGGACAGTATCTCCAATGTGGCGGACTTACGTCTTCCAAACCGTGAGAATGACCCGCTTTGCAAATAACACCTTCCAGGCCATTTTCTGTTGCTGCTGCTGCTGCTCGGCACAGAAGCGGTAAGTTTGCCTTTTAAGTCATCGCAGAAATGGATGATTTTATTCACCGTCGAGTTTTCATGCCTCTCTGTATCTGCTGTTCTGCTGTCCTCTCGGCCTGGGAGGCTCCTCCCGCTTTCTCCCCGATGAATGCCATCCGTGCAAAGGACTCGGTCAAATGTAGGGGGGCTTGTGATTGTGCGCATCCCCCTAGATATAATTCCTCCTTCCTTTGTGCTGTTGCAAGGTCTGCAGTTTGGTTCTCTAGGGTTTATTGCATGTCCCTTGTATATGTGTCTCCTGTTCCATTCTGCACACCCCCACTTTAAGTGCCACAATCCCATCTTTGGGATCTGGCTCTCCCCACCCTCTTAGAGAACTTGTTACTTTGGTGCCCAGTAAATGACAGTGTAAGAAAATCCAAGGTGTCCTATTCAGCTAACAGCTAATATATAATGAGATAGTGCTACCTATCAGACGCTATGCTGGGAAATTTACCTTTATTCATTTACACAATTCTTTTTCCAATTTCCACTTTATAGCTGAGGGAATTGAGGCTTAGTCAGGTTACTTTGTTTACCCCACACCACTGTACGGGTGGAGCAGAGAGTCAAAGCCATGTCTCAATCACTATACCGAGCTGAGGACCAGAAGAGACACCCCTAAGTGAGACAGTGCACATAAGAGGATCAGCAGGGTGTCTTGCACAGGGGAAGCCATTCCTGGTCACGATTGGGATTTCATGCCCTTAATGGGCACGTGACATATTCATAACAACTTTTCGTGCTCTCTCAGCATCTCTAGCTCTAAGATAAAGAAATTTAACTTCTAAGAGTTGGCGATTTTCCCATGGAAAAAAAGAATGACCTCCTAATAAACAGGTAGAAACATAGTCCTATTTCTCTACCACGTTTGTGTGTCGATCTAATGGATTTGTGATACCGTTTATATGAAAAATCATTTGTAAAACGATTGCTTTTCAATATCAGACAAGCGAGGACAGGAATAACCCTGAGCCAAGATGAAGTACCTTCAGAAAAATGTACCCAGCATCACAGGCCGTGGTTCAGCGAGCTGTCAAGTAAGAAGCAAGTGAGTATCATTTTCACAGCCAAGTCTGTACCTCATGAAGTGCAACATGGTGCCAAGGCCAGAAGCTACGCCATGCTCGGCACATAATAAGTGCTCAATTAATAGTGAGTGGATGTTCTACAGCAAAGTGAAAAAAAGAAGAAAGTTAAAACAGCCGGCTGTGCCGTATTTAAACACAACTTGAGGGTGGGCAGCAAATGAGGAAACGTGTGTTCTGGCTCTTGACTTTTTGAGGTGATGATTATGCTAATGATCAGGGTTGGGAGGAGTAATGTCCCTAAGAAGTGAGGTAAACCCAAACATGAATTTATAGCACAGGGAAGGGAAGGGACATGTTCTTCAAAAGAGAAGAATCTTTACACTGAAGAATAATTGCCTTCTAAGAATTGTAATGGGCAAAGTCCTACATGATCATGGTGAGAGTACTTGTGAGATTAGACATTGCACTAATGGCACTGGATATGGTGGCGCTTACCTGCAATCCCAGCACTCGGTAGGCTGAAGCGGGAGGATCGCTGGGTGTTCAAGGCCATCCTGTGCTACACGGTGAGTTCAAGGCCAGCCTGCACTGCATAGGACATCCTGTCTCACAATAAAAAGTTTGACAAAATGATGAGTGCGTTGTGGATCCAAAGGGGGAGGGTACCTGGATTGATCCCAGCCTGGCTTCTGCTTGGTGCTGCTGGATAGGAGATGGGAGGAAGCCAGCATATAAGCCACATCTTTATCCTGTCTGAGTGAAATAACTAAACAGTGAAACAGCTGTCCCTTGGGTTCTGCAGTCCAGCAGGGGCCACGCGCAGCCCTCGAAGCGCAAGCCCCTGCCGCCGCTCCCCGCCTCCGCGCTGGCCGAGGAGAAGATCCGCGTCAAGGCGCTGTTCGACTTTCAGCCCCGAGAACCCTGCGACTTGGCGCTGCGGAGAGCCGAGGAGTACCTGGTGCTGGAGAAGCGCGACCCCCACTGGTGGAAGGCCCGGGACCGGTTAGGGTAAGACGCCTGGTGGCTCACCGCAAGGGTTACCGAGAGCCCCCTCTTCCAGCCCCTGGAGGCTTGGAACAGAGAAAGCCTCTCGATCCACTTGGTTTGTCACTTTTGTAAGTCTGCATGGATTAGAATTTGCCCTCCGCGTTTGTCCATCTGCAAGAGGTCGCCTTAGAGCACAGGGAGATCCGGCAGCCTCAGGACTGTGAAGTCCTGCTTGGTGCCAAGGCCAGAAGCTAGGCGCATGCTCAGCACATAATAAATGCTCAATTAACAGTGAATGAACATTCTAGAAGAAAGTAAAAGAAAGAAGACAGTTAAAACAGCCTGCTGTGCTATAAAGATAGAGCTTGAGGGTGGACAGCAAATGGGGAAAAATGTATCCTGACCCCTGCCATGTTAGGCAAAGATGGCCTTGCTTGCTATTTGTGCCTTTGGGTGACCGATTGTGAGCCCTTGGGCAAGCTGGTTACCCACAGGGTTTTTATGCCTTTTTTTGTAACATGGAAATAGTAATTGCTGCCACGTAGGTTCTTATTCTGATTTCTACTTGGAAATTCACTGTTTTGCAACTCTAAGGCAAGAGCAGAAACAGTATTTGATTCATTTTATATTTCTACTATGATTAATTTTGAAAGCAAATATTGCAGCAGTTGTGGAATTAACTTGGAAAGAAAAATATCTTGGGAGTAAAGTAGATTTCTTTTATTAGTTTCAATCTAATATTCTATTACATCCAAGCTAAGAATGGGCTCTATTCATTGCAATAGATCATTGATGTCTGGCTGTAGTTCTGAGATGAGAAAGATCTTGAGGACGATCTGAGCTTCCTAGGGGAGAATGTTGGTATTGATTTCCAATATTTGCATTTGGATATTATAAATATGTAAGGAGTATGAGCACCTCAATTCCATACTTCTTTTCTTAATTGTATTTTCCTGTTGATTTGATCTTTAACAGATCTGAGTTTAGATTGAACATGTGATGGAGATTTTTTGGTGGAAAAACAGGCATTCATGAGTTTAGGTCTGTGTAATTAGCTGTATCTGTATGTCTATATTGGCATGCCACAGACTTTAGAATAAACACTCAATCATTTTTTATCGCATAGTTAAATGAGTGGTTCTTAAAACAATGCTAAGATTCTCTGCCATTCCTCCAAAGTCAGTCTCTCTCCTAGACAAGCACAGTGACTCACTGAGTGAGCATCTTTCTCGGTCATTTGGAATGAGCTTACATGCATGCACTAAAGCATCTGTAGATTTCATCCCTAAAGCTCCTATACTTCATGTATTGTTCTGTAATTTGCTTTTATTTTTCAATAATATGCCTTGAAGATCTTTTTGACTTCAAACACCAGTGAAGCTGTAGGAAGTAAAAAACCTCTAGCCTACTGATAGGTGTGTAAATTGGTGTATCGTACTTGGCGATTTGCTGTATCTTTGGAAAGATGTACATGGCTGGTGTCTTGGCGGTTCTCCTCCTGGATATCAGCCTTACACGAGGATGCATGTTTAAGTAACCCTTTAAAGCCTTGCTTATGATAGTGGGAGGCAGTTAGCAGATCAGTGCCATGAACTATACTGCTGCACATTGACCCCAGTATCTTCTGTAATTGGTACTTTTAACCTAGTTACTCATTTTGACTTCAAATGATCATCCTTTTTCTGCTTTGAAAATATTTTGGGGTCAAAAAATCGCTCCAGCTACTCACCTTATAAATTAAGGTCTTCATATTTCTTGAATAGAAAGTTTTGTTGAGGTAAAGATGAAAAAAAGAGACTTTTTTTCTTCGTTTACCAATTTAATCAGTAAGATGAATTTGATTTTTCCCCTGCAACCCTTTGGTTTTTAAAAGAGTCATAGTAAATATTACAAACATGCCCAACATTTTGATGTTTGCTTTGTTTTTTTGTTCTAGGAATGAAGGCTTAATTCCAAGCAATTATGTGACTGAAAACAAACTCACCAATTTAGCAATATATGAGTAAGTGTCCTTCCCAGGTTCCTATGGGTAACTTTGAAAATCAGGGATAGTCTGACAGCTTAAAAGAGTAGATACTGTTTTTGGTCTGTGAAAGGAAAAGAAAGTAACACATTTATTTGACAGCTTTTGTCATAAAGAGAGCTCTGATCTTTATCATGGTTGATGTAGGAACTTCTTCTCTTAAACTTGTTTTGTTTTGTAAGGCCACCTTGTTTTTTTTTTCAACAGAGACATACACTGTGAAACTAAACACTTGTTTTATTATAAATGAAACAATTGCCTTAAAAATGGCATTAGATTTTCAGTGAGTGATAAATTGGATTTACTGTGTAAACAAATCACTATACTTTGGCTCATGTTTTGATGTTTTAGAGAAGATGAGTTAGGCTCTGGCTGTACTTGGGAAGAACATTTGGCAGAAGGGAGAGACCCGTTAGCCATCTATGTTCCCTTCCCCTGGTCACTCTCATAATCTCAGCCACGACGTGTCCTCTCTTCTCCTGCCTGCCCTCCCTGCCACGACCCCTTCATTGACTGGAACCCTTTAGCCCTGCCCCACGATTTTAGTTTCCAGTAAACCAGCCCCCTTCCTTGGAAAAGGCCCCCAGGTGCCCCACAGGGTCTCACTGCTGCTTTGGCTGAAGGTGACCAACACCACAGTTCTCTCAAAAGGCTACGCAAAAGGTCACAAGAGATTTTGCATGGAAGTCTGCCAAGAAAAGTTAGAGATAAGACTACTCTTCATACACCAATGTGGTTGGGATTTTCCAGATATTGAAAGGAGATGTGTGATGGTTCCAAATAGAGGAGCTGCTGGTTGGTGCATGGGCACCACTATTCAAGCTATGTTCTCTTTTCTTTTTTCTTTTCTTTTCTTTCTCTTCTCCTTTTGCTTTGCTTTGCTTTGCTTTCTTCCTCCTCCTCCTTCTTTTTTGTCTTTTGAGGCAGGGTCTCACTGCGCAGTTCAGTATGGCCTTGAGCTCACTTTGTAACCCAGGCTGGTCACAAGCTCACAGCGATCTCTCCGCCTCAGCCTCCCGAGTGCTGGGGTTACAGGCGTGCACCATCACACGCGTTCAGCTACGTTGCTTTGTTTCCTTCCATCACTGATTACTTTGCTGTGGTTTCCCCATGTCGAACTGGCTTCAGCTCTGAGGGGAGCAGCTTGTTTCTACCGTGGATATTGGATCATTGGGTTAAGCTACTCTGGGGATAGGATTGCCATTTCATTTCTTTGGGCCGTGATTTATATGATTTTTGAAAGTCATCCTTTTTAACGACTTCAATTTGGGAAGATTCATTTTAATTTTATTGTTTTTAAAAAAACTGGCTCTTATAAAGATAACATAAAAGTTATTATTAATCTCTGAAATCTATTGATCACCTGGCACCAAGGACTGTCCTAATGACAGTACACAAAACTGCTGTTCTGGGTGAAGTACTTGAAATGTGGACTTAGAAGTGGGTGCACTTTGCTCCAAGCCCAGCGTTGTCTCTGACTAGGGCTTTGATTCTGGGCGAAGTGGCTGAGCACTTCTGAAAGATCGAGACCTGCAATGATCAAAAAGGTAGAGACAGTCATATCTCTCTCATAGGGCCCAGTGCATTCGAGTGATTATTATAGTTTCTGTGATCTGTGACACTAACAGACCAGGCATTCACAGTCTGGTTCCCCTTACTTAACGTTATAGGTGCAGAACTGACCTTCATTACTTCAGCCTGTCCTCCCTGCCTGAATCACTTTATTTGTTCCATCCGTACTTAGTGGAAACACCCAGGACATAGCAGAGGTCAGTTGTTGTAAGCACTGGAAATGCAACCCAGAACCTTCCCTGTTGATGGAGAAACAGTCATTAGAAACAAACATCTAACTCCAAATGGTACCATTATTAAGGGAAAGTGGTACGAATAAATGTCCTTAGGCAGTTAGCCCTGTTTATAAGCTCCGATGATTACATTTCTTGATGCATTTAATTTGCATAGTAAGTGGCAGGGACCGTGGGGGGAAACAGGAGGAAGGGGATAAAGTGTAGACCAGGGTCGTGGGCTGGGAAAGACCCTTCTTCAGAAGTCACATGAGAGCTAAAGATGGGAAGAGTGTGAGGTGGGGGACTGGGGAGAGATGGGGTGTCAGTGTGCTCTTAAAAAAAGTTTGTGGTCCTGCAGGTTGAATCCAGGGCTTTCACATGAAACTACATCCCCAGCTTTTTCAATATTTTGAGACATGGCATTGCTGCCTCACCCATGCTGACCTCGAACTTGTGATCTTCCTGCCTCAGCCTCCCAGAATACTGGGATTATATAGGCATAAGCCACCATGTCTGGCTTAGTGTGTTCTTCTAGTGTCTCATGGGAATCTTTGTACACAGAGATTTATGGGTACTTTCCCTTTAAATGCATACCCAAATTATCAACATTAAAATGTAAAAGCCTAGTTTTCAGCATGCTTTCAATTTAACATGCAAATCTTTTATATATATTTTTCTATCTGAATAAGTAAGAATAATCATTTTATTTACACTCAACATAGTAAATGTCTTTAAACAGTCCATCCTCTTTATAAGCTCAGTTAATTGCATTTTTGAAACATTTAATTTGCATTAGTAAACTGAATACATTCAATTATCTTTTAAATATTTCACATGCTTGACAGGGTAAATTTACAATTGTAATAAGCCCTATGTAGGTCTTTGAAATAATCTTGGAAATCCAGTGAATTAAACTTATAAATGAGGGAAATTAAGTGTTTTTAACAATACGAATATCATTTTAAAATTAGCCAACTTCTCTTTAGCTTCAAGTAACAAGTTTAAAATTAATTGTGTGCTCAAAATCAGAGTTGAAAATTGAATACACTAGATCTTCTTGCAGTGAAACATTTTAAAATTAGGCATGTTGGCACTCCTGAACTTTATAGAATCTTTAGAGTCTGATTTATCTCTTTCTACACTGCATCCTTGTTCATCTCAGAATTAGGAAGTCCCTTACTAAGGGAGCAGATTTATCCTCTTAGAGCTACTACTAGAATTTCTAGGTGAAAAATATTCCAGAACACAATACTGTTACTGGTCAGAAATCTGGATTTATCATAAACTTGAGGCCAAAGGATACACAGGTAATTTCAGCTCACTTGTAACTGGACAGGCTAGATTTTTTTTTTTTTTTTTTTTTTTTTTTTTTTTTTTGTCTTTTTCCTTTTTATTGGTACCGGGGATCGAACTCACGACTGCCTGCTTGCAAGGCAGGTGCTTATGCCGCTGAGCTAAATCCCCAGCCCCCTAGATTTTTTTTTTTAAATGTGCTTAGGCGCCCTGCCCTGACTCTTATGTCCACATTTTTGATATTAATCTTATAACAAATGTTGGCTAGGCATACAAGTAATAGCCTTACCTATTTTTAAAAAATTTTTAAATATTTTTTATCAGTACTAGGGATCAAACTCATGACCACCCACTTGCAAGGCAGGCACTTAAGCCACTGAGCTAAATCTCCAGCCCCTAGCCTTATCTATTTAATAAAAAAGCTTTTCATTTTTTGTATCTGATTTAAATAGATGACATTTGACATACTGCACTCCTGATCTCCCTTAAATTACATTTATTGAATCTGTTTACTGTTTAATAGAATTCTGCATTATTTTAAAGGATCTCAAGTTTGTCACATGTCTCTCTGCTCTCCTTGAAGTCCTTCTAAGCACATCTACAAGTAGATAAAATTCTAATTTATATTTAAAGAAAATTAGCATATTTATTTATGTTATTTATCATCATAATAAATACAAAGTGACAAAATTAGCATCAACACAATAGCAGGTGAAAAAACAGTATTTAAAAAATGCAATTTACATTAACTTTTTTTGAGTATCTTTGTGTGTCTTGGGTTTTTACAGATTCAGCTTATTTTAGTGAATTATAATCATTAGTTTCCTTTTAACATTCAAATGTCACAACCTAACCAGTGTTGATCCCTTTACACTAATTTTTATGTCTTTACCACTGCCTCATCGATTTTGAAGCAGTTTCTCTTTCTACAAGAGATCGCAGACTCCTCTTAAAATTCCTCCCTGCAATATTAATATTCTTTAAAAAGTCCTGAGTACTGTTCACCAGTACTAGTGAGCAGTCAATTTACTTTGTCTAGAGTCATCTGCAATCATCTCACGCTCTCTGAGGCTCATCTTCTGTGAAGTTCACTTTCATTTGATGACGTTAGTAACTCGAGACACTTAACCATTCTAATTTAGTGTCAGCTGTCTACAACTGGATATCAGTAAGCAAATCCCATATAGAGATGAATTCCATCCTCCAGCAGGTTCAGCCATCTGGTCCACCCACAATAACTCAATGCATAGATAGGTAACTTATTCCTCTTTTCTTCCCGAAACAGAATTTCAGGCAGTATTTGACTAAGTTTAAAATTCTCTAGTACAAATATTGTCTTGAAGCTTTTTTGATTTTTTTCTCTCTCATTTCTATTATTTTCCTTTCTTTTCTGCATAACTTTTAGTTACTGAAAACGTTTGGTCATGTCACACTGTATGTTTACCTTGTAATGTTACGTAATTGTGTTTGCTGTGTCTGATAGTCCATGACATGTTTAATGCAGAGGAAACAATGGTCAAAGGCAGAACAGGGCTCAGTGAATATGAAGAAGCAGAGAATCCCAGGAGGGCCTCAGCTCACTGGGAGAAGAGAGAACAAGGCTAGAATTAAAGCAGGAGACCGTGTTGGGGCAGGGTGATGTCTTGGTTGTTCCGCATACTCTACCAGCTCTGAACTCTACTTGGAGATAATGGACTTAGAAAAGGCAGAATACATTTTCAGTTTTGAAGAATTAGCACTTATAAAAGCATGCAAAGTAGAAGTTTATATTTTTCCTCCTTTTTTGGTACTGGGGATCAAACTCACGACTGCATGCTTGCAAGGCAGGTGATTATGCCGCTGAGCTAAATCCCTGGCCCCAGAAGTTTATTAGAGAAAAGAAAGAGCTATTTTGTCTACCAAAGTCCAGCATTTGAAGATGATGACTTTTTCATTAATTGGTTTTCATGGAATTTTACAAGATAGTAAGTCATTCAAAATTATTTACAGACATTGGGTATATGTTGGGAAGTTAAGTGAGGTATGGTAGAATAAGCTAGATATTGATTTGAAGTCAGTAAAATTGTATTAAAATTAATGAACTGACACGTAATAGTACATCATGATTTATCTGAATTTAAAAAGTCATACCTTTTTAAGATCAATTTTTAAAAGTAAGATCTTTAAAATGAAGGATCCGAGCTTTTTATCCCTAAGAATATTGAATATAAAATTTAAAAATCATTTCTATTTTTTCACAGATGGTACCATAGAAACATTACCAGAAATCAAGCAGAACATCTATTAAGACAAGAGGTAATTCAATGCATTTGTGAATAAATTTGTGAATATTTTCAAAATTTCTGAGAGAGTACTTCCTGAAGACTTTAACCAAAATGGTACATTACTTCATATTTTTTCTAATTTTAAAATATTATTACAACTTCATCCCTATTACATACTTTCTGATAAGTGGTAATTCAGATGTGTTTGTATCAGATTGTGTTTTCCAGTGGTTTTCACCATAATTTCAAAAATACATTTCTTCTGAAGTAATTTCAACTTTAGCTTACTGAGACTGCATCTTTCAAACATGCAGTGTGGCAGCAGAGTCCATATTTGAGCTGCCCATATAAACTTTGCATGAAAGGTAATCGATAAACGCTTTAACCTCATGAACTCAGCCTGGACCCATTACAAACACCAGTGCAGAAAAGTACATGGTGCTTTCAGTTTCTTTGTTCTTTGGAAACAAAGAAGAGAATACAGTAGCCAGAATATCCAACTCAGATCAAAACTACTTATTCAGGTCAAACCAAGACAAAATTGCCTATGGTTCAAATTTCCAACTGTCGGTAAGTATTCACCTTGGGGGGATGTAAAGTCAAAGCTAGAAACTAGGTAAGAGGTATTATGTCATCATGCACTGTTGTCGGATGTTGAGGAAACCTAGAGAGGTGACTGAGAAAGAATCAGTTCTGTAATTAAAAGCTTCATGCTAGTAAGGCTCAGGATGAAGAAACCCACTTCAGAGAAAGGGACACATGGAGGATATGGAACAAAGACCCAGCCACAGGTAATGGTGGGGTGGAGGTTCAACAGGCCTTACCTTGCTCCCAAACATACTGTACGTGTGGTGGCATGTACGGTATCTGCCTGGCATGGGCTCACGGGTGGTTTTCTGTACAGTAGCACCAGCAGATCCCGTATGCAGAATTGAGACACTATGACTGACAAACAGAACCAGGGAAGGAAAGTCTACATCAAGCAGCTTGGCCACAGGTGAAGTGGACAAACCATGGAACTGTGCATAATCAGCAAGCTTTTGCATCTAGAAAGAAGTCAGACAAAACAAAGTTCTCCTTTCCCTACAGTGCCTGGAACAGGGAATTATGTGACAGACGCCTACGTTAATATTTGACAACGAATATTAACTTTTTGTTTTGAGCTAGGGTCTCACTGTGTAGTTTGAGCTGGCCTTGACCTCATGATGATCCTGCCTCCCAGGTGCTGGGATTATAGGCTTGTGCCATCTTGCCTGGCCCAAATATTAACTTTTGGCCGTAATGTTTATAAAAGAAACAATATATTATGGATACACCTGAAGACTATTGCATCTTCTGTTGTGTTTTCCTCCACTCCTTGGAGACAATCACCATAGATGGATACGTTCTCATTTTGTGTATGTGTTTACATTTTACCGTCTATGTACGTGTGTAAACAACATATAATGTTACCATTCGACATAAAAGAGATCATATATATTTTTTGTTAAACTTTATGTTTCCAAAATTCACTCCTAGAGATACATATAGATCATGTACATTAACTGTGTAATATCTCATTGCTATGTATTTATGAATACATAAAAATATATCCAATACCTAGAAACATTTAAATAGCGTCTAATTTCTTGACTATTTTACACAGTGCTTCAAAGGCTCTTCCTTTTAAATGTCATCTTGTACACAAGAGCAAAATGGAATTATTTAGTCACAGGATATGCACAGATTAATACTGCTAGATATTTTCTGGAAATGATTCAGAGTAGTTGATTTCTTGATAATAGCCATTCTGTCTGGAGTGAGACAGAATTTCAGCATTGTTTTAATTTGTATCTCTCGAATGACCAGTGATGTTGAACATTTTCTTGTATGTTTATTTGCCATTTCTACTTCTTCATCTGAGAACTGTCTTGAATGGTATGTTTTTAAAAACATGTTTTTAGCATATATTTTCAAATATTTTTCTAATTTATTTGTTGTTTAATTTTTGTTTCATAAAAAAATATGCTTTTACTTAGTCCTGAGGCATTTAGCATGTATCCTGGTTTGAGTTTCCTAATATTTTATTTAGCATTTGCCCTGTTAAGTATAGAAGTGAACCTCGCTTGTGATTTTGCAGCACATGCCTGATTTTAATAGGAAGGTTATACTAACATCGTAAAATGGAACGGTTTATATTGGACAAGGGTTATTTGCACCTTGGAAGTTAGGTATATGGATTTTGTGAAATGGTGTAGACACACTGCTTTCCAAAACAAATAGAAACGTGACTACTGATTTAATTTTTTTTGAGATGTTTGATAATTTATATTTACCTAGAGAATTGCTGATTTTCCTTATTATTTAACTTACTGCATAAATTATTCATGCCAGTATCCTATAGTTTTTATTTCTTTCATATTTCAAGGCTCAATATGATCTCAAACTAAAACATTCTGAAGTTTTCGTTTGTATATGTTCCCAAGCCACTAACTTACTTCCTTGTAGAAATTATTACTAGTTTATTTTGGGTCTTTTCTGAGATATTTAATGTGTATGCTAAGAAGTACAAATATATATTTTTGTGTTGCTATTTTCACACAAATAGCAGAATCTTCCATACCTCACTTTTTCACTCAACACTAAATATTGAGAATCTTTGCATGTAAGTAGCTGTAGCTTGGATGTATCACAGCTTTTAAAACCAGTTCTTTATTAGAGAAATTAAGTACTATGCATTATTTTGCTCTTAAAACAATGCTGCCATTAGTAAGCTCTACATACATCGTTTCCCATTTATGTGATTGCATTTGTGGACTAAATTGCCAAAGGCGAAAATTCTAGGTCGAAGGCAGTGTACATTTCTAACTTTCACTGACGTTAACGTCTCCCTAGAGTTGTATCACCTTATGTGTCTACCAGAAATATGAGAGTATCTGCTTTCTCTGGCCTTTTCAACGAGCATTTTATATGAAACATCTGAATTTTTATTCTGCACTTCTTTTTATGTTTTGGTTTTTTGTCAGTACTAGGGATTGAACTAATGACCACATGCTTGCAAGGCAGGCACTTATGCCACTGAGCTAAATCCCCAGCCCCTTTACACTTCATCAAGGTGTAGATTTAATTTGCATTTCTCTTACTCTGGGTGTGTTAGAGATTTTTCACATGTTAAATTTTATATATTTATACTCCCTTTTCTGCAAGTGGCCTGTGCATATCTTTTCCAAGATTTTCTGTTGAGTTTTGGATGTTTTTCTACCTAGGATCCAGGTATCTATGTTAAAGAAATTAATTCTTTGTGATATTTCCCTTTTCAATTATTTTAGTTTTTGGCATGAATAATATTAGAATTTTATAGTTCTGAAATAACTGGGCAAATTTTTGTAAGGGTTGAGAGATTTGTGTTAAAATCATTTTCCCCATTCTAAGGGTATAAATATATTTGCTTTTTGTTTGTTTGTTTGTTTGCTTTATACATTTTGCTTTTTGAGACAGTCTCACTCTTCGTTCAGGCTGGTCTTGAGCTCACTTTGTAGCACAGCATGGCCTCTAACTCACGGGGATCCTCCTGTCTCATCCTCCCAAGTGCTAGCATTACAAATGTGTGCCACTGCTCCTGGAAAAATGTTTATGTTTCTTGATTGCTGTAGCAGTTTTATTTGGTACATTTATATCACTGATCGATTCATAATTTTTCTTGATATTAAGAGTGAGGGATGCATCTTCATTTTGTCTCAGGTGGCTACCAAATGTCCATCTTTTCTGTACTGGTTTGCTACTTTCATCATAAACACGGTGCATATTTTGGATTATATCTGGACCTTGAAATCAAATCCTACTTGATTTCACTCATCAACCCAAGGGATGATGTACTGTTGCTATGCTGTTGTAAATACTTAGCCTTTCTCTGATGTGGCTAGTTTTCCTCATTATTCTTCTCTTTCAAAAATATTCTAGATACCTGTGATTTTGGTTGTTAAGAATTACCCTGTCTTGTAAAAAAAAAATTCCTGTTGGTTGCATTAAATATACAGATTAATTTGTGAAAATTTTTTCAAATACCACAAAGCAGTGGGGTTCGGGACCAATTTGTGCTAGGATCCATTTACTGATTATTCATATAGAAAAAACAAAATTAGGTCTCTACTTCAAGCAAGAATAAATTTAGATTAATTACCTAATAAAAGCAAAAACTTGTATTCTTCAGGAGCATTTCCTTATACAGTTTTTGTCCCTTTATTTTTTAGTTTATTTTAAGATATATCTTATATTTTGTGTTACTATTTTAAATGAACATAACGTCTTTACTTACGAAAGCTTTTGAATTCTGTGAATTAATTTTGTAACTGATGACTTGGGTGAATTTTCTTTTTTTTGTAGTAGCTTTCAGTTGCTTCTCTTGGGTATCAGGTATATAATCTTACAAGCAGTAAACAGTAATAATTTCAACTCCTCTTTATAATTTTAATCTATACTTTAATTTTTATGCCTTATTTAATTTATTGACTAGTGTTTCCAGAGCAATATTAAATACTAATGATGTTGGAGGGGATTTTCTCTTTTGTCTTATCTTTACTTGACACAATTTTTACATAAAGTATGATACTGAATTATAGACTAAAATAAATAAGTGCTATTGTGTTGAAAGAAGTACCCTATGTTCCTATTTTACTGAGAATTTTTGAAAATCTATGCTAGAAGTTGACATTTGTCAAATGCCTTTCAACATCTCTAGAGATATCCATGTGAGTTTTCTCCTCAGATCTATTAACATCGTGAATTATATTAATGAAATTTCCAAAACTGAATTCTTCACATTTTTGTAAGCAATCCCTACCCTTCATAGTGTATTTTTTTTGTGTGTGTGTGGGGGCTACTGTGTTCCCTTTGTTAGCATTGTATTTAGAATTTTTGTGTTGTCTTGAGTTTTCTGTGCAGTCTTGACCGTGTTGTTGGTATTGATGTTAAGTTTATTTTAGACAGAAATTTAGAAATATTTCTTTTTTCATATGCTCTGAAATAATTTCATCCTACACTATTTTTTTCTTTAAGGTTTAGTGTATCACCATGTGCAACCATGGTACTTTTTCATGTCATAGCTCTTTAAAACCTGATTTATTTTTCCATTCAGTGGGTTCATAAAGATTTTTAATTCTTCTGGGCTAAATTTTATGTTTGGATGGTTAATTGTCCATTTAATTCAAGTTTTCAAATTTATTGTATAGAGTCAAACAAACAATTTTTTTCTGGATCCTTCATTATTGTTACCTTGCTTATTCTTTTTGATGGATTCTCACCACTAGTGATTGGTTAGGTTAGTTAGCTGTTTTTTGCTTCTCCCTAAACAACTTAATTACTAGTTGTATCATATTTTTGTTTTTGTAGTTTATCATCTTTTATTTTGGTTGTATTAGTTTCCTTCTACTTAGGCTTATTTTATAATTCTTATCCTAACCTATTGAGTTAGATATTTTATTTGTTGTTATCAGTTATTTCCTTTGTTGCTTGATACAAATGAGGCTGTGAGTTTGTTTTTTTAGTGCTGCTTAAACCTGAGAGCAGAGATTCTGATATGCAATATTTCCTTACTATTTTCTAGATATTTTTATTTCCTTGAGTTACATAAAAACAATTAAAAATCTACAGGTGTTTTATGTGGGAAGCATTTCATTTTGGGATTTGTTGCGAATTTCTACCTTTATTGTTTGGTGTTTAGGGAATATTATTTTGCTTTATAAGGGGAGCATACACAACTGAATTTCATGCATATTATAAATGCTGACATATGTACACATCCCATCACAAATACTGTACATATGAACCGTATACACAATTTTACTTTTTACATCTGTGTTTTTAAAGTCTTATCCTCTGTGATATGTAATACAAGCCTGTGTACAGTGTAAGAATTCAGTAAGAACTATAGTTCATCATTTTAGATGTCCATAGCAGATTCTGTGGGTTAAAGAGTTGGATCAGGGAATGTGGCTGGGTCTTGGTAAGGGTGTGGGAGGAGAACAAGAAACTGCTGCCTAAATAGTCGTGTGTATGTGACCCAGGGACCACAAGCGTGCACTTCCCAAGCACAGCCTGAGTGCTGCTGTGCTACCTACACGTCAATTGGATGGCTCAGGCAGGATGGGGAGGGTTTTCTGTTTTCAGAAGTGTGAGCACACTTAGGAAACCTGGACATTTTTACAGTAGCAACACACATAAAATAGTTCAATAGTCAAAATTATTTGAAAGCGATTTACAGCTTTGTCGGAGTATCCCCCAAACACTCACGAGGATCCAGTTCCTTAGCATCCAACTCGTTAGCATGCTCTTCCCGTGCCATTTCTCTTTTGCTCTTTCCCATGTAATGACTGAAGCTCTCTCCTGTCTTCCACCTAGTCCAGATCGCTTCTGTCTCATGAACGCACACTCTGCCTTTCTGCAAATCCTTCTCCTTCCTCTGTCATCTCACTTACCAAGCTGTTTCTTTTTCTGGAGTGCAGTCTTGTCAGTCTGTCTCTGTTGGTCAAATCAGTTGCTATTTATATCTTTTTAATTTTTTTTTAATTTTAAAGAGAACAAAACAAAAAGCAGAATAAAGCAAATCAGAACATAGCAATGCAAGCAATACAGGACTTCAAAACAAGACACCAGGAAATCAACAGTAGCTAACATAATGTCTCTTGTTTTCTTCAAAAAATACAATAAAATCACATAATGAAATACAATAAAATCAAACAAAACAAAATGGAGCAAAACTAATCTACACAAAAGAATGAGAGCATTATAGGACTTCAAAAAAAAAAAAAAGAAATCAACAATGGCTACCATGTCTTTTGTTTTCTTCAAAATAGCTGTCCATACCTTCACACATAATCAAATCAAACAGAACAGAATAAAACCAATTGAAACAAAAGAACAAAAGCATTATAGGATTTCAAAATGAGATAACAGGAAATTAGCAATGGTTCCCATAATACATCCTGTTATCTTCAAAATAGCTGCCCATACCATCAGACACAGTAAAATCTAACAGAACATGACAGAATAAAGCTGAATCTAACAAGATTATGAAAACAATACAAGAATTCAAAAAAAGATAGTAGGAAATTAACAGTGGTTACCACTTTCCCTTTTTAAGTGTTTCCTTCCCTATTACTTTCATAATATTGTGCTTTTTGGATCCCACTAACTCCTTCAATTTTTTATGCTAAGGACGTAACTTGGTGTTCATCTGTAGGAGTCCAAACCATTTTACCCATGAGCATGATCTCAGATTGCATCCATTTACTTACAAGAGCTTCGAGATTATTCTACTTGATAGCCGGGTAGCTTTTCACTGTATGAAAACACCATCTTTCTTATCCATTCTGCAGCTGATGGGTGAATCAGCCTTGCTTTTTTCTGGCCTCGGAACAATTGTTTTCTCTCCTTTGACTTTCAATATATGAATTTCTTTCAAGTTAAATGTATTTCTTATATAAACATATTGATGGACCTTGTTTCTTGATCCACTCAGCCTGTGTTTCTTCTTATTGGTGAACTGAGGCCATCTACATTAATGGTTACCACTGGTACGCATTGGTTCATCTCTGCCCTGCTGTCCTCCTGCTGTTGGCCCTCCACTTTCCCCTTCCCTCAACTGCCTGTCTGGTTTGGCGATCCTCCTGGGCTGCTGTTCCTGGCACCATGGTCATCTTCATCTCTCTCTAGAATATCCTTCAGCACTTTCTGTAGGGTTGGTTTGGTGGTCATGAATTCCTTCAGTTGTTCTTTATCATGGAAGTATCTTATTTTTCGATCAATTTTGAAAAATAGTTTTGGAGGGTACATCAGTCTGGGTTGGAAGTTGTTTTCTTTCAGGGTTTGAAATACTTCACTCCAAACTCTTCTTGACTTGATGGTTTGTGTTGATAAGTCTGCTGTGATTCTGATTGATTTTCCTTTATAGGTGATCTGTTTCTTTTCTCTAATAGCTTTTAATATCCTGTTTTTGTGCTGAATTTCTGGGATCTTGATTATTATATGTCTGGCTGTAGATGTATTTTGGTTATGGCCAGCTGGAATTCTATGTGTCTTACTTATCTGCATGCCAGGTCTTTTTCCCATGTTTGGGAATTTTTTGCTATTATTTCTGTAAATAGTCTTTTTATTTCATTTGATTGACTACTTCTTCACTGATACCTATCACTCTCAAATTATTTTTCTTTGTATTGTCTTGTGACAACACAAAGAAACACAAATAACAAGGAATCAGGAATTGTTATTTCCTGGTTCCTTGTTATTTTTAAGAGATGTTTCCTTTCATGATCACTACTACAATCCTGTCTTCAAGAACTGAAAGTCTATCTTCAGTCTCTTTCAAGCAGTTTTTACAGCTCTCGATCAACTTTTTAATTTCTTGGAGCTCTCTTTGAATCTGTTTTGTGCATTGTAATTCCTCTCTATATTGTTTATTCAAGGTTTCCATCACTTTCCTATGCTCCTTTTTAAAAATCTATGTCTTCTTTAGATATGCTCAGTAATTCTTTCATTACATTTGTGATTTCTTCTTTCACCTGAGACATTATTTCTGATCTGATTACTTTCGCAGTCTCATGAAGTTGTTTCCTTACTTCAGTTGCTATCCTCTCGGAGATTTCAGGGGTGTGACTTCCATTTTCTTCCATGACTATGTCTCCCAGGCTTGTTCTGTGTGGGCTGGAAGTCTGAGATTGCCTTTTGCTTCTTCATCTTGACATTCTCCTGGGTTCCTCCCAACAAGCCGGTTGTGAGGTCCCAGGCATTTCCCATGTAGACTGCCCCTCCATGACGCAGGGGAGTGAGACAAGCATCTGTTCCCAGGGAGGTAGCAGGGCTTGGGGCTGGCTTTTCCAGACCTGTGCAGCTATACGGAGGCTTCCCTGATGGCCAGAGTGTGGTGATGGGGCTGCTGCTTCTCTCAGCCTGAGTGTCTATACCGAGACTCCTTCCTGATGGTGGCAGGCACACAGGGATGTGTTTTTCTGATTCTCTGGTGGGCGCTGGCTGCCTTCAGGAAGCAAGCCTTCCAGGGTCAGAGGCAGGCGTGCAGGGGTGGATCTGGCTGTGTCTCCCTACCTGTGCTGGCTCTGCTATTTATATCTTATCCTGATCAATGTACCAAAAATAACTTAGCAATAGGTACAAGTATAACAAATGCAGAAGTTTTCCTAGAAAAATCAAGGTCATTATTTTTGAATACTTACACATTATAAATTTGTGTCCAAATTGCATTTCTTTTAGAATATGGCTTTAAATCTATCAGGAAGATTTTATTGTGTGTATTTATATACCATCTTTTATGGTATGAATATCATAAGTTGTTTATTTTAGGGTAAGTCACTTACTTATAGCAAGTTCATGTAGCTTTGGTTTTGTCAAGATTCAAGTTTGTCTTTCTAAGACTTATACAATGAATAAATTGTTTTATAGGCTAAAGAAGGTGCTTTTATTGTCAGAGATTCAAGACATTTGGGGTCCTACACAATTTCTGTCTTCATCAGAGCCAGGAGGTAAGTAACTGTGACTGAAGTCAGTGAAACAATGTTTTATGGTGATACCATAACATAGAGAACATCCAGGAGAATTTAGGAGAGGGAGAAGATTGCTGGCCTGAAAGTCAGGACAGTTAGCCAGTGCATATTATATCCCAGCTATGCTCCATGTGTCATTGGTTATGTTTGCAAACCTGTCTTGCCTTCCTTTCTCTCAAGCTTGGGGTGAAGGGTTAGATCAGTTGTGGTACACAGTTGGCATGTCCTTCTTGTCCTTTGGACTGCTCTGGGGTTGACCTGCAGAGGGCGGCTTTCTGCCTGAGTTTGGGCTCTGTGGCCAGGCTGGCAGTGCCTGAGAGATAACAGTAACAGTCCAGCAGTGGGGAACGGGGTGGGTGGGTAAGCACCTCTGTTCATTTCAGTGGACAGCTCTGAGGTGTTCCCCAGTCCCTCACAGATTCCTAGAAGGATGGAACCTCAGTCGCCTATTGTAGTAACCTGCTCATCGATGTGCCTATGTTGGCTTTCCTACCTTCCTAGTCTGACATTTCCAGTTCCTCAGAGTTCATTCGCTTATGTATTTAACCAATACCTGATGTTTGATACATAAATATTGCATGATGAGCTCTACCTTTTTTGAACATTGCACTTGTCACCTGCGCAATGTGAGCTAAAGTTATATTTGATCTGAGTGACCAATAAGATAACCCAGGAATTTTTCAGATATAATCAGGCCCCTATTGCATCAGCCAATCCTCTCCACTGCAGTGTTGCTAGGATGAGAACTTGAGAGCTGGATCCTGTTGCTCCATGAATTGGCTTACCTCTAAAGTGATGTTTTACTTGCTTACTTACTCACATCTCCTTGATTGTAGAAGTACAGAGGCTACAATAAAACATTATCAGATTAAAAAGAATGAGTCGGGACAGTGGTATGTGGCTGAGAGACACTTCTTTCCAACAGTTCCTGAATTGATCTGGTATCACCAACACAACGCGGCTGGTAAGTGAGGGGCATCAGGCTGGGAAGGATGGGGAGCGGGGTCCTGACAGGCCATCCCTGCTGACATTAGTCGCTTGCTAGGAATAGATCTCCCAGTAGAGATAGTTTATGAATTTGAAATACACTCTGTTTTCTGGGCAGTTGTGTTCCTCTTTGTTTTTCTAGTCAAGGGACATAAGATAAGTTGATGTTCTACACTTTTACTAGGTTAAAAACAAACAAACAGTAGACGACAACGAAGCAATAGGCCATGTGGTTATTACGCATTTGCCCTGAAATTTACATAGGGCTAAATGACATAGGATTTCTAATACACCAAATAGTGATGTCTCTTCTCTTTTGTCCCCTATAAATCTGTTCTCTGTTTTAGACAAGTGCAGTGGAAAGTTCTGTTAAATCTCTCATTTTCTGCTCTTTCCTATTTGGAAAACAGAAAAAGTTATACAAAACCCAGCCTTGTGAAGTTATGCTCCGGCCTAAATATGACAGAGGAATGTTTCATCTTTTTCTTTAGTTACTTGCCTTCTTGTCATGCAGTGCTTTTAAAAAATTTTGCTCATGAAAAGTTGTGGCAACCGTACAACAACAAAACACTGCTTTTGGGAAGAGGCCATTTTTCTGTTATACTGGTTCTCAAGATCAGAAATAAATCCAGGGGTAATTGTGTCTATTCATGGCATGAGCCCACATGGATGTTCTTTACGGTCACTGTGTGAGTGGTGTGAGAAGGTGGTGTCCAGGAAGCCGTAGTTGTGGCTGGAGATAGAAGTGCTTCAAGTAAGGGGGCCACTTCTGAGTTTTCTTGTCCATGCGTGATTCTTTGTTTCAAAGAACAATTTTAAGAACTAAAGTAGATAAGCTCTACCACGATTGAAAGATGTCAGTGATAAATTATTAAGTTAAAAAAGTTCAGAGGAGTATAATCAGATCACAGTTCCATTTTTACGTTAAAAAAACACAAGCATGTATACACATATACTGCTATGTACACCGAAAAACCCTGTTAAAGTTCAGGTAATAATTTTTAAATAAATACGATAACAGATTTTAAATTGTTAATGTTTATCTCTGGGAACTGAAATTGGGAATAAGCAACATTTTCATTTTAACTTAATAATTTATCATTGGCAGCTTTTAATATTGCTAGATCCTGTTTTTTTTTAAAATTCACTGTATAAATGCTGTTTCTTAAAATTTATTTTCTTCTTTATATATGGCTTTATAATTTTTATTATAATACACATATATTATTCTTACAATCTATAAAATACCATAATTTTTCAAAAACTGGATCAAGCAAAGAAAAAGTAAAAACAAATTGAAAATGTATAATCACAAGTGCTACTTATTACAGAGAAAATAGAAGTAGATAAACAAGAATAAAGGATAATAAAGATAAGAGGAAGTCAAAGAATCCCCAAATAACTCATGTTTATTGATTTACTTTGGGTCAGACTGTTTTGAGTGTTTTTAATGTGCAGTTAATTTTCAGAGCAATTCTGCAAAATAGGTGATAATGATTATGTCCATCTTACAGATGGGAAAACTGTGGTACAGGTAATGAGGTAACTTATTCAAGGTCACCTGGTTAATAAGTATCTATGCTGAGATTTGAGCCCAGAGAAACCTTAGAAGCTACTGGAGGCATTAAATCCACTGGCTCTGGTCTCCATATTCAACTGTTATACCATATTGCCAGGAAAGAAGCAAACCATGTCACCAGAGGATATTTTGGAGGCCCAGTTTTAGAAGAGATCGTGAATTGGAATCCATGCCTATCCTGTTTCCTTTTTGACCTCCGATCATTTGAACTAGAACAATTCACCTCTATTAGAAGTAAGGCCAACAGAAAGAGTAAAAGGCTTCTTTCATAGGGAGCAGATCATTGCTAATTTGTATGCAGTGATTTCCAGGATAAAGACATTTGCAAATAAAAATTTAGACGTTAACAGAAAGTGTTATAGTCTTAAAGACATTCTTTTTACATTCGTTAATGGATCATGTGTTATATAGTGACTCAACTAGCTGAAGGCTCTAACCTTGACTTGTCTTCAGACTCCTTGGGAAATACATGCTTTTCTCTTCTCTGAACTTTTGCCTTCTCTCAGGATCCGTTTTCCAGGATTAAACCCTGAGCTAACAGCAAATCACCTGGCCACTTACTTCAGTAAGAAATGGAGTCTACTGTTTCTCCAGCCATGTGCTTCCTCTTTTGTCTCCTCCGGCAGCCATTCCTTCCTGCCCTCCTGGTCCCTCCTACAGCAGGGAGGCCACACCTTTGCTTTGGCTCCATGCCTGCCCTCCTGCTGGGACATGCGCCACCCAGAGGCTTTTTCTCTCCTGTAGTGCTTTTCTTTCTTCCGAATGCCTCATTCAGCCCATCAGTCAGCACACATGCTTAAGACTTTCCTACTTAAAAACAAAGCCCAGACATTCTCTGGAGCCTTTCTCTGTTTAGACATTGCTCTTCTAAGTCATACTTTTGAAAAAATGTGCCCACAATTCCTCACTTTCCATTTGCTTTTTTAAGAATCTGCCATCTGACTGCTACCTCCACAGTTCCATATTTGACCAGGAGCCCTCGTCTGGCCACAGACAGTGCAGCTTTCCTGGGCTCGGTGCCATTCCGTGAACTTCCCTTCTTTGTGGATGTGTTAGTATTGCTCACTGTAACTCAGTTCCTTACTGGTCTTCCCAGTTGACCCTTCCATTCTTCTCTTAGACACTGATACACTTTAGGAGTCTTCCTGGACCACTTCTCTTCTTACCCTTGGCTTCTGTCTTTGCATAATTCAACCGGGTGAACACAGACACTGGGAATCACTAGGGGGGTCCAACTTCAGAGATGCTGCATGGTTCATCTTATATAGCACTCCCCTCTAAATCTATTCTTCTTCTTGTTCTTTACCCTAAGTGATGGCATCATCAACCAGCCCATTAAAGGGGCTAGAAGCATAAAAGTTAAGTAGATGTTTGTAATCTCTTTAACACTTAATTTATTACTGTCAAGTGCAATCTATTTCATACCCTAAATTCTTTATGGGTCCCTGCCTATTAGTGCTACCCTAATCTTTGCCCATGTGGATAATTGTAGCAGCCCCTTACTGAGCTCATTTTCTCTGTTTCTCCTCAATCCACTCTTATGCTACTGCCAGGATGATTTATCAAAAGTCTAAGTATGAATGCATCACTCCCTCCGTTGGGAACTTGGATAGCTTGCTCTTACCTGCAGGAAAATGTAATGCTCCGTAGCATGGCTCATGAGGACCGTCATAACCAGAACACGACCTGTTTCTCAAGTATCATTTCTTGCTTCTTCCTGCTTCTTGGTTTTGGTTCGGGTCCCCGCTGCCACACTTCATACCTCCAGTATCATCTCATGCTATTTCCTCTCCCACCAGCTCCTTCTGCGTTTCTCCTTGTGTTAGCTGCACTCATCAGACTCCTGTCAAGTGTCATGTCCCCCCAGAAGACTTTGTCTGTAGCAGTGTGCTCAGAGCGCTTTCTTGTGTGTCTCCGGCTCAGGCCTCCTTGTTGATGTTGCATTGGAATGACGGCCCTTCCTGAACCCTGCGTGGAGTTAGAGCTCAGAGTCCTCCTCGTCCTCCTCGGCCTTCTCTTTGCATCTGCGGGGCTCTTTGGAATCTATCAGAACTCTAGCGTGTATGTTACAGTCACTTCTGCCTGTGTCATTCTATTCTTGTACTGGCCAAACTCGTTTCTGTCTCCTGGCCTCTGCATGAGCTCTTCCATTGTTCTGGAAAGTGCTTTGTGAGATGGCGTCCTATCAATAAATGTCATCATAGCTGTCCTATTGTCAGACAGGCCTTCTCTGAGCACTGGATTTTAGGCTTTGCACTCAGCATCGTCTACCTTTTCTCATGCATGCCTGCCCCTGCCTGGAACCAGAGGCAGAGAGGACAAGACCCAGGCCTCCTCCTCTGCTCTCCTGCGAGGCTCTCAGTGAATTATGTGCTCAAGAACTAAACAATGAATGTTGACTGAACTAAATTGAAAGCAGTTGTCTATAATTTCACAAATTGACCTAATCTAATGTCTTATTTACACTATCATGCTACTGGGGAAAAAAAATACTCTCAGAGGGTGGTCAGTTGATGGGCAAATAAATTAATATATCTTTTCTGTTCACTGTGAGAAAGGAAATCTCATTTTACAAGGTAATCACTTGAGAGGTACATCTCAATGTTATGTAAACATTGACATATAGTATAATTTATCACAGTGATATCTTGGAAATAATTTAAGGTTTATATATATAAAACATATATACTGATATATATAAGCCTTATAGTATAAACCTTACAATATAAACCTTATATATACTGGTATATATAAATTACATGTTTAGTATAAAAATCATGTAGCAGAACATTTACATCCCTATAAAATAAGAGATGGTTTGTTATCTTTATGTTTTCTTAGGGTCTTTGAAATGTGTACAAAAAGTATATATTGTTTTATGAAAGTGTTTTTCAAGTGGAAAAATAAGCACTGAGCTCGACTTCCAGGATAAATTCATATCCCTAATGCCACTGTCTGCCGGGACCTGACTCCCGTGTTAGTAATGAGCCCTGAAATGTTGCTTTCTCTTTCCCTTAGGTCTGTTGACCCGTCTTCGCTACCCAGTTGGGCTGATGGGCAGTTGTTTACCGGCCACAGCGGGCTTTAGCTACGGTAAAGTATGCGCACATGCTCTCCACGGATTCTTTAAATTCTCAGCTCTTTCCATGTCTACCTAGATACATTTCAAAGTTTAAATCCCCTGCCTAAGATGTTTATGTGATGAATCTTATAAAGGCAATTTTAAACTTTGGAGAGAAGTATTTTTGTTTACTTTAGATTTCATTATACGTTATTGACAAGCTTGATCTTCACTCTTTTAACAGACTACAGTCCTTTTTACTTTGAACTATTGCTCTCTGGTTACAGGGTGGTTGGGAAATGACCATCATCCAAGGCCAGGGTTTAGCTCACTGGCATAAGCACCTGCCTGGCAAGTGCAAGGTCATGAGTTTGATCCCTCGTACCAAAAAAAAAAAAAAAAAAAAAAAAAAAAAGAAAAGAAAATAAATGACTTTTAATCCAAAAGAACCTACTAAAAAGTGCTGCAAAAGTATCTCTTTACCACTTTTTTCCCAAATAGAATTTGTGCTAAGACTGATCTGAGCTACTTTGCAAATCTGTGAGAATAAATAAGAGCTAGGGATTCTTGTTTTAATTTGTGATATGTTGTTCCCTTAATTTTCTCTTACTAGGGGAGTCAGTTACACTTAAAAGATGACACAATTATACTGTGTAAAAGGTAACAGGAATTCAGGGTCTTATTAGGTTACGTGGGGTGGAAGGTGGTTTCAGGGTGTTATAGGTGCCTTGATTATTCCTCTTGTGCTATTGACACTATGTAATCATAAAAGATCCTGCCATTAGCAATTTATTTAAGATAAATGTAATATTCTTTTGTGTTCTCAAACTTTTGAAATACATAAAACAATGCACAACTCACAAGTCTATAGCTGGATTTATTTTGCCTATTCTTGACTAATTTATATAGATGTAGCCACACCCTGCCTGCTTTCTTCTGATCCTTTTTTTATGTCTGTGATTTTACCCCAGAGTTATTTTTTTTATTAAATATATTAAAAGAAAGAAGGAGATTAAGATAAAAGAGGACATAACAACATAATAACATAGGTGAGAACAGAACAATTTAAGCAACATAGTGTTTCACCACAAGATAACCTGACATAACAGTAGCTACCATAGTGTTTCTTTCCTTGAAATATTTGAGTATAACTTCGTATATTATAGCATCAAATACAACATGACAGTGTAAAACCATTCAAGAGAATGAAAGTATTACAGAGTATTTAGAACCAACTAACAGAAAACAAACAATGGTTTCTGTATTATCTCCTTGTCTATAAAAAATTTTTGTTTATACTATCACATATAATAAAATCCAATAAGATACAACATGATAAACTGATGGAGACAGAAGAACAAAAGCTTCATGGGACTTCAAACTAAGATGATATTATATCAGCACTAGCTATTATATTGTCTTTTCTTCAAAATAACTGTTCATATCATCATAGACAATAAAATCGAACAACCCAGAATAAAACCATTCCAATTAATGAAAACATTATAAAGCTTCAAAGCAATATAATGGGGAATCATGATTACCATATACTTTTATGTAGTCTTACCATTTCTTAACTAGGGAAACTATTCGGTATTTATACATGTGAGTTTGATTTATTTCGCTTATGAGTATGGTCTCAAGCTGCGCTCATTTATTTATAAATATCTCAATATGATCATTCTTTATAGCTGAGTAGTACTCTATTGTATAAAAACACCACAATTTTTTTTTCCATTCCTCAGTTGATGGACACTTAGATTGTTTCCAAGATCTGGCTGTTACAAATTGTGCTGCTATAAACCTGGGTGCACATATGTCACTGTGGTATGATATTTTCAGTTCTTCTGGGAATATGCCTAGAAGTGGAAGAGCTGGATCAAATGGGACTTCCAATCCCAGCTTTTTGAGAAATCTCCAGACTGATCTCTGTAATGGTTGCACCAGTCAACACTCCCACCAACAGTGCAGGAGAGTTCCTTTTTCCCCACAGCCTCTCCAGCATTTGTTGTTGGTAGTTTTCTTGATCCTGGCCATTCTTTCAGGAGTGAGATGGAAGTCCTTTGTCTGAGGGACAGTTCACTAAGATTTTTTCCCAGTTTTTGGGTTTTCTTTTCATTATGCTGGAGATTTCTTTTGATGTGCAGAAACTTTTTAATAAGAGGAGATCCCAGTTATTGATTCTGTTAAGTATTTCCTGTGCCGTTTGATTACTGTTCATGAATTCTCTACCTACCCCTGTGTCTTCAAGGTTTTTACACAATTTGTCTTCCAATAGATTTAGTGTTTCTGTTTTAATATTCAGATCTTTGATCCATTTAGATTTTAGTTTAGTATATGGTGATAGGCATGGGTCTAGTTTTAGTTTTCGGCATGTGGAGAGCCAGGTTTTCCAACAGCATTTATTAAAGATGTTGTTCTTCCAGTGAATGTGTTTGGCCCCTTTATCAAAAATAAGGTGGTTGAGTGTGTTTGTAGTTGTGGTTGTATCTTCTAATCTATTCTATTGATCTTCGGCTCTGTTTTTATTCCAGTACCATGTTGATTTTACTACTGTTGCTTTGTAGTATAACCTCAAGTCAGGGATTGTGATGCCTCCTGCCTTGCCTTTGCTGCTTAGAACAGTCTTTGCTATTCTAGGTCTCTTCTGGTTCCAGATGAACCTTAGGAGTGATTTCTCTAGATCCATACGGTACGTTGGTGGTATTTTTTATTGGGATTGCATTGAATCTGTATAGCAGTTTTGGGAGAACAGCCATTTTCACAATATTTATTCTTCTTATCCATGAGCAAGCGATGTCTTTCCACTTTCTGAGATCCTCAATTTCTTTTTTCAGTTTATTATAATTTTCCTTGTATAGGTCTTTCACTTCTTTAGTGAGAGTAATTCCTAAATATTTCATTTTTTTGGTTGCTAGTGTGAAGGGTGTGGCTTCTCTTATTTCTCTCTGTGATCTTGTTGTTAGTGTATAGAAATGCTATTGATTTTTGAATATTGATTTTGTATCCAGCTACATTGCTGAATTTATTTATGATATCTAGGAGTCTTTCAATGGAGATTTGGGGGTCTTCTATGTAAAGTATCATGTCATCTGCAAATAATGACAATTTAACTTCTTCTCTTCCTATCTTTACCCCTTTTATTTCTCTCTCTTGTCTAATTTCTCTGGCTAGCATTTCCAGTACTATATTAAATAGGAGTGGTGATAAAGGAAATCCTTGTCTTGTGCCTGATTTTAAGGTAAAGGCCTTCAGTTTTTGGCCATTTAGTATGATACTGGCTGTTGGTTTGTCATAGATGGCCTTTATTATATTGAGGTAAAGACCATCTATTCCAATTTTCTGTAAGATTCTTATCATGAATGAGTGTTGGACCTTATCAAAAGCTTTTTCTGCATCTATAGAAATGATCATGTGATTCTTACTTTTGGTTTTATTGACATGGTAGATTACATTTATTGATTTACGTATGTTGAACCATCCCTGCATGCCTGGGATGAATCCCATTTGGTCATGGTGTATAATCTTCTTGATGATTTGCTGCATCCTATTTGCCAATATTTTATTGAAGATTTTTGCATCTGTGTTCATTAGGGAGATTGTCCTGTAGTTCTCTTTTTTAGTTGGGTCTTTGTCAGATTTTGGTACTAGACTAATATTTGCTTCCAGGAATGACTTAGGAAGGATTGCTTCCCTTTCAATTTCATTGAAAAGTTTGAGGAGTGTTGGCAGTAAGCCTTCTTTGTATTTTCTTGTAGAATTCTGCAGTGAATCTGTCTGGGCCTGGGCTCTTCTTTGTGGGTAGGGACTTAATTACATTATTGATTTCATTAATAGATATTGGGTTATTCAGCAGTTTTACATCTTCTTGACCTAGCTTTGGTACTTCATATGTTTCTAGGAATCTATCTATTTCTTCTGTGTTATCAAACCTATGAGAGTAGAGGTTTTCAAAATAGGTGCTGATAATCTATATTTCTACAGAGTCTGTAGTGATTTGCCTTTTTCATTCCTTATTGCATGAATTTGAGCTTTTTCTTCCCTTTTTAAAATAAGGTTGGCTAGGGGCTTATCAATTTATTTATTCTTTCAAAGAACCAACTCTTTGATTCATTGATTCTTTGGATTGTTTTCTTAGTCTCTATTGCGTTAATTTCTACTCTGATTTTTATAATTTCCTCCCTTCTTTTGGTTTTGGGCTTGACTTGCTCTTCTTTTTCTAGATGTTTGAGGTGTAGCATCAGGTTATCTATTTGTATTCGTTCTGTTTTCCTGATGTGGGAACTCAGTGCAATAAACTTCCCTCTGAGAACAGCTTTCATTGCACCCACAGGTTCTGGTAAGTTGTATTTGTATTTTCGTTTGCTTGTAAGTATTGCTTAATTTCTTCTTTAATTTCCCCTGTGACCCACTGATTACTCAAGAGTGTGTTATTCAGTTTCCATGTGTTTGTGGAATTTTTGCTGTATCGTTTATCATTAATTTCTAATTTCATGGTGCTATGATCTGATAACATACATGAGATAATTTCAACTCTTTTGCATTTATTTAAATATGTTCTGTGGGCTAAAATATGATCTGTTTTAGAGAATGTCCTATGTATTGCTGAGAAGAATGTGTATTCTGATGTTGTTGGATGGAACAATCTATATCAAGTCCATTTGTTCATATGTGTGATTCAGTTCTGTTATTTCTTTGCTGATTTTCTGTCTGGTTGTTCTGTCCCTTTGTATCAATGGTGTGTTAAGGTGTCCTGTTATAATTGTGTTACTGCTAATTTGGTTTTTCATTTCTGTTAATACTTGCTTTATATAACTGGACACTCTGGAATTTGGTGCATATATATTTAAGATTGTTATCTTTTCCTCTTGAAGTTTTCCCCTAACCAGCATATAATGACCTTTTTTATGTTTTCTGATCATTATTGGCTTGAAGTTCACATTATCTGCAAATAGAATAGCTACCCTCGCTTTTTTGGGGGTTCCTATTGCATGAAGTATTGTTTTCCATCCTTTGACTTTCAGTCTGTGAGTATCTTTTTGGGTTAGATTGGTTTCTTGTAGATGGCGTATGGTTGGATGTTGTTTCTTGATCCATTCTACCAGTCTGTTTCTTTTAATTGGTGCATTGAGACCATTTACATTAATGGTTATATCTGTTATATATTGGTTTATCATTGACATGTTGTCTTTCTGCTGTTGAATCTTTATCTTTCCATTCTGTTTAATTGTCTACTTTGCTTAGTAGTTTTTTTCCTAAATGTATCTAAGCTGTCTTTCAGTATTCTTTGCAGGGTTGGCTTGGTGATCATGAAGTTCTTCAGCTGTTCTTTGTCATGCAAGTATCTTATTTCTCTATTGATTTTGAAGGACAGTTTTTCAGGGTACATCAGTGTTGGTTGGAAATCATTTTCCTTTAGGATCTGTAATACTTCACTCCATGCTCTATTTGACTTTATTGTTTGTGCTGAGAAGTCTGCTGTGATTCTGATAGGTTTTCCTTTATAGGTGATCTGTGTTTTCTCTCTGACAGCTTTTAATATTCTATTCTTTTTTTGGATTTCTGGGATGGTGATTATTATATGTCTGGGTATATTTTTATTTTGGTTATGATTATTTGGAGTTCTATTTGCTTCACTGATCCTGATGTCAGTTTCTGTTCTCATGTTTGGGAAATTTTCAGCTATTACTTCTCTAAATATCCTCTTCACATCCTTTATGTTGTACCCTTCTTTTTCATTTATCCTTGTCAACTGTATATTGTTTTTCTTTGCATCATCTTGCAGCTGTTGAACTGTTATTTCTTGATTCCTTGTTATTTTTAAAAGATCTTGCCTTTCCTGTTCACTAGCTGCAATCCTGTCTTTGAGGTTTGAAATTCTATCTTCACTTTCAATGAGGTGTTTTTTTACAACTTTCAATGGAATTTTTGATTTCCTGTATATCTCTTTGCATCTGCTTTATGTATTCTGCTTATTCCTTATATTGTTCATCTGAAGATTCTACCTTTTTGTTTAGTTCCCCCAATTTTTTAACTGTGTCTTCTTTAGATATGTTCAGCATCTCTTTCATTACTTTTATCATTTCTTCTTTTACCTGGGAGATTATTTCTAGTTTGAATTCCTTTAAAGCTTCCCAGAGTTGCTTCTTTGTTTCAGTTGCTATTATTTCAGATATTTCAGGTGTATGGCATATATTTTCTTCTATGTACATAACTTCTAAGGTTTCTTGGGATGGCCTGAAGTTTGAGATTGCATTTTGGTCTTTTGCTTTGTCATTTTCCTATATTTATATGCTTCAAGTGTTCCAAGGCTTTCCCTGGATGTGTTGGAAATCGTCTCCCATGCCCTAGGCTCCTGGGACTGAATGGAAGTTGCTGAGCCTGGTCCAGTTAGGCCCTCAGGCCTTCCTGTGCCACCTTCAGTGTTTCAGGTAGCTGGTCAGGCACTTAACCACTGTGGATGATGGGTTGAAGCTCTCCCCAGGTGAAGACCAATGCCCTGGAACTCACTTCACCTACTCTCAAATCCTGTAATTGAAGAAGGTCACTGGGTGTAATATAGTTCGTCCACAAAATCTCCCAAGGCTAGTCTAGTGTGCCTGAGCTCTGGATGGGTCCTTGAGCTCTGCAAGAGATGATCTTAAAGTCTCCCTGGGCTTGGGGTAGTGCAAATTCACCTCCCCTGCCACCGAGTTTCCCGGTTTGGGAGAAGCTCACTGGGCATGTCCTGGGCAGGCCTGAAAGCTGCCAAGTGCAGCCCAGTGTGGCTGGGCTCTGGGCAGATCCTTGAACTCTGCAAGAGATGTTCTTAAACATCTCTTGGCTCAGATTCACTCCAGTTGCCAGCTGAGTTTCCGGTTTGGAGCCAGAGTTATGTTTGATTGGCTTGTTTTTGTTGTGATATCATGCTCCATTGCAAGGTTTTCCCACACTTGATTTACCCATTGTCTTAGTTACTTTTTACTCATTACTGAGACAAAATACCTGATGCCCAAAGTTGGGAAAAGAAAGGTTTATTTCTTACAGTTTTTGGAGGTTTCAGTCCATACTCAGTTGGCTCCAAGGCAGGGTGCCATGGTGGGGCTACAGTTCATGGCAGCTGCAAACAGCGAGGCAGAAACCGACAAGACACACACACACACACACACACACACACACACACACACACACCCCTTCTCCCAGCTATTACATTGTATGATGGCTCCACCCATAGGCAGGTATAGCACTGACACCATCAATCCAAGCGCTAGACAAGGAACCAATCACAAATGCACAATGCAAATGCATGAGGCCTGGGGACCAGCGACATAAACCACGGCAGCCATTTAGATTGCTCCCACTTCTTAGCTCTTACAAATGATATTGTTACAAATATTTCTCTATGTGTATAGGTGAAATTAAGTGTACAGTTGCTTTACTGCATGTGGGATATGTGCGTTAGAGTACACTTGTGGGCTTGCTGGGTCGCTTGGGCTGCACATGCTCAGATGTAATAATGGTCAGGTTTCCAGGTAGCTTATACTAAATTACCTCCCATTTGCAATCTATCAGAATTCCAGTTACTCCATATGTCTTCCCTTACCAGTATTCCGTATTCTCGTTTTTAAAAGCTTGTAAGTTGTAGTTTTATTTTTAAAATGTTTATTAGTACATGTTTGCAGTACATAATGATTATTTTGACCATGGGAAGTTGGTGTTTTATCCATAATGCATTTTGATTCTCTTCAAGTCTCTTACCCTTTCCTTTCCTTTCTTTCCCCCTCCCTCCTGGGTGAAAGTAGGAAGATGTTTTTTTATTAGCACACGTTCACAGTAAAATGTAAATATTCATTGTGGGTAGTTGATGCAGGACACATTTGTTTCTTTTTACATCTCTTTCCTTTTGGTCCTTACCATTTACCAAAGATTTAGCTCCATATTTTCTATTGTCTATTTCATTGTTTGATTTATTTATACTTTGAGTTTCTCATATAAGACAAATCATATGATTTTTAAGCTTTTGTGTCTGATTTATTTCATTTAGCATTATAGTTTATCCCTCTTCATGACAGAATAGTATTCCACAGTGTACAAATATCACCTTTCCTTTAGCCATTTGTGTGCGGATGGACATATAGGCTGTTTCTGTGATTTAGCTATTATGAATTGTGCTGCTATAAACAAGAGTATGCGTGTATCACTGTAATATGATGTCTTTAGCTCTTTCAGGAAGATACCTAGAAGGAGAAGAATCAGGCCAAATGAAATTTCTGCTTTAAGTTTTGGTTGAATGTCCATACTGATTTCCACAGTGATTGTACTAGTTTACACTCTGACCAACAATGTTGAAGGATCGCTTTTTGCTCACACCGTTACCAGAATTTGTTATTATTATTATTTTGTTACATATTTTCTTTTGTGTGAAAGATAGCAATTATGTTTGTTAATCATTTTAGTTTAGTTTTTAGAATATAAATCGGGTGCTTACATAGTTACTTTTCCAATTTTAGTAACATTGTAGCAATTTTAGGAAAATAAAAGCTGGAGAGATAAAGAGGAAAGAAAATAACACAGATGTGCTGTGCACACGAACTGACTCCCCATGATGAATGGAATCATCATGTATTACAAATATGTACTAATAAAAAAAAAATAAATTCAGGAAGGGTGAGAGGACCTATAGGTAAATCAATATAAAATTTAAAATGAATACTGTTTCCTAAAACTTGTGTTGTCATTTAAAATGTTTTAGCCCATCTGGTGAATGCTCAGTAGTATTATGGTTTAAATTTGCATTTCTTCAATGACTAATTACTTTGATCCAAGTTTCATAAGTTTAGGGGCCATTTAAATATTCTCTTTTATGACTGAGCATTCTATTTAATTTTTTTACCCTGAGATAGGAATCTATGTATTTTCTAACAGCCCTATTTGTATTTTGGGTGAGAATTCTTTGTTGGTTATGTCTTAAAAATCTTTCCCAGATTCTAGTTTATTTAGTTTTTCATTGAGAAGGGTATTTTGATGAACAGATGAAATTATGAACTATGCTTTATCAATATTTTCTTTTATGGTTGTGTTCTATTGAGAGATCTATGCCAGTAAATTCACTGGCATTGCTTTTAAAATACACTGTTGGGTGGAGGAGTACTTTACCTAGTTGGTACAAGACGGTCATCAATTTTTACAGTCCTAACTGCATTATTTTAAACGTCCAGCAGGTGGCAATGTTGCTGTAAAAAGGGAGCTTCTAGAAAGATTTCATACTAGGGTTCCAAAGGGTCATTCTTAAAACAATTTTTTCCCTGTTTTGCTTTTCTAGAATGAGAAATTCAGTAACACTTCTTTTAAGATTCTGCTTCAAACATACTCTTTCATGTATGTGAATTACAGTCCAGACCCTGGACGTGTTTGTGGATAAACTGGTTAGATTTTTCCCTGAGATAGGAGGTACCAGGGCAGACAAGCTCTTTAGAGATGGACCAAAAAGACCGGCAGGAGGGATGAAGAGGAGAAGGGAATTTCACAAATTTCATCTGGCTTGCAGGTTCTCACCTGGACAAAATCAGACTAGAGAAACACACATTTAAGTTCCAAGTCTAATTTTGGTGGGATTAGTTTAAAAAGGCACAGAAATGTGTTTCATATCATGTGTTTTGATGTCCTTAATTTGTTGTACATTCCTCTCCAAGGAAGCAAAGTTTGTATTTAATATTCAATTAAGCCACGATAAGAGTATTAAAAATGCTTATAGATCCTCTCCTCTGATTTATACGTTTTTCACCTACATGTAAAATAAGAGGATAGGACTAGGCGATTCTTAAATCTTTTCTAGTTCTGAAATGTCATCATTTCTCCCTTCCTACGTGTAGCACGGGTGTTCTCTTTTCCAGAAAAGTGGGAGATCAACCCATCTGAGTTGGCTTTCGTCAAGGAGATCGGCAGCGGTCAGTTTGGGGTGGTCCATCTAGGTGAATGGCGAGCTCATGTCAGTGTTGCTATCAAGGCCATCAATGAAGGCTCCATGTCTGAGGAAGATTTCATTGAGGAGGCGAAAGTGATGATGTGAGTATAAATAGGACTAGATAAATACTGTCTGATTCCCTGCTGTCATGGGGAGAACATGGACTTTGGAGGCAGCCACACCTGGATTTGTGTCACCACTCTGGCCAAGCTAACTGTGGGGCCCAGGAAAAACACTTGACCACTGTGTGACCTGGTTATAACATTTCACATTTCCAGGCCTCAGTGTCCTCATCTGTAAAATGGAACCATTAGTACCTACTTCACTGGGCCAGTGTGTGAATTAAATGAGAACATGAAAAGCAAGTGTATTTTCAGCTCAATCACAGGCTCTTGTCCAGTGCTCTTTTTTTTTATTCTTTTACTAGAACCAAAAATATTGTTTTCATATGAAAAGTCATATATTGTTTGTCTTTTAAAAGCAAATCCCCTGGTGGTCAAAAGGAAGTTTTGTTTTCTGCCTTTGTGAGTGAGTGTGTGTGTGTGTGTGTGTGTGTGTGTGTGTGTGGTAAGGATAAAGTATTTGCTCTCAAAAAATTTAAGAACGTTGGGTTTTAAAAAAGAAGTAACTCTCTGTAGACTATTGGGCACTGCCTTTTAATAACCATGATTTTCTGGGACACTATTTTGAGTCAGTTTAACCTGCGGCTGTGGTTTACAGCTGTAACCTAGACTGGACCAGACAGACCAATAACTTAACACAGTCAACTGAACATATTAAATATATATTTTATATATATTTAGAAGAGCAACGATGTGGGGAGGAAGGCAGGGCCCATGCAGGATTATTTTAATTCTGTCCGCTCTCCGGAGCAGTTTAGTTCTGTCCCAGTCTTCCTGATCCCTACTAGAGCCAAGACAAAATGAACCAGAAAACAGACAGACAGACAGGAAGGGATTCACTGCACTGGGACCTTTGGAGACACAGTAATAGTGCCTTTTGGGAGTCTCATGCTCACACCCCAAATATCCTATCAATATATCCCTTCTATCCACTTATGACAGAGTTCATTTTGGAGGACAATGTAAGAAAAAGAACAAGGAAAAAGGAAAAAAACAATGTTCCAGCGACATCAGCTTCCCCAGTGATGTTTTTGGGCACCAGGGTGCCAAGTGCCTGCTGCCTGCCTTTGCTCTTGAAACTGTATTCCCATCACCGTGGCTTTCCAATATGCAAACGACAAACATGATAGTCTTGCGTGCTGCACTAAGGAGGCCTGGTCTGGGGGCAGGGATGGGAAACACATGTCTTTGGGAGGGTTGAAGCCATACTGGGATCTTGTCAAACAAGGAGCAGTTAAAGACGTCTGACATCCGGATGAGGGGATTTGTGACCGTCCAGGCCTGGCTGGGAATTTGGGGTTAGGATCTCTTGAAAGTGATGGGAGCTGTATAGAGGGCAGGGGATAGAGACATCCTGGCAGTTCACAGAGGCAGGAATGAGCTCAGCAGCTTCGGTCTGCTCAGATGGACATAGTGTGTTCATGGATTAGAATTTAGTTGACTTTTCCTAATTTTTTAAGGTAAAGCAGGAAAAGTTCCATTCGAATGTTCTATGGCAAATATAATCCTCTTTAAGTAGCAGATATGCATTGAGCTCTCCCTGAGAAATGTGCATGGATCTGCACATGCAACTTCTTTCTTAAAGGAATGCAGTTCAGATGTCACCCCCCTCCACTCTGATTCAGCGGGTACACCCAGGCCGGGTGCTTTCTGCTTGGGTTAATTCTGTCAAAGTCCTTGTCAGTACACTGAAGCTTCACGTGTATGTATTTTGTTTCGCCTCTACTAGAGTGTGAATTCCATAATAATAGGGCGGTTTATTTATGCTTCTCATTCAATATGGTGCATCCCTAGAGCTGTGACCAGGCTGTATTGGTAAACTAAGATCTTGTATTAATCAAAGTTGCCACCACCGTGTGTAGTTTTTCCCGTGTAGCAGGAGAAAGGCTTCAGCACTGCCTGTGCTCCCTGGGGACTGCGGGATGCTGTCTGGGGGAGCCATTCTCTGGGGCTTCCCCAGCACACCTGCTAAAGTCAGCTGGTCCGTTCGTCTTGGACGACTTCTGCTGGTAACATCCCATGAAATGCTCTAAGTTTGCTTTTCCCTTGGCTTATCTTTGCCATGCGTTATCATGAATGGGATCTCAGGTGACGTTTAGCAGAATAAGAGGAACATGCTTGTTATCTGCACTGCACACACATCAGCGATGGGACTTACTGTGCGCTGCGTGGAGATCTACTGACCAGTCACGATTACAGTAACGGAGATGTGCACAAGTATACCTAACGTCTCCGGGAACTTTTTTGGGTCTCATCTAATTCATAATGTCTTTGTAGTAAAATATTTTAGTTTTAGAAAGAAGTTTTAATACTTTACATTTATATTAAATGGAACTGAATAAAATAAAAACTGAAAACACCCTGGTCTTTTCTGCCTGCTCCTCTGAAGGATTAATTAGTTAATTAATTAATTTTCTCTAGAGGTTATTAATAGTAAAGGTTTTTATTTGGATTCTTAGCTCTTATTATTTAAATGTTTATTAAATGCTTTTTATTGACAACACTGTCATAATAAATATGATCCTTTTTTTTTTTTTGTCTTTTTCCTTTTTATCGGTACCAGGGATTGAACTCACAACTGCCTGCTTGCAAGGCAGGCACTTATGCCGCTGAGCTAAATCCCCAGCCCCAGTAAATATGATCTTAAAGCCAGGTGTGGTGGCACGTGTCTGTAATCCCGCCACTCAGGAGGTCGAGGCAGGAAGATTGCTGTGAGTTCAAGGCCAGCATGGGCTGCATAGAGAGACCCTGCCTCAAAAAGACAAAACAAAACAAAACAAAACAAAACAAAAAGCACAAAATGATTAAAAAATAAGGGCCCTTGGAGGATAGAGGAGGAGAGAAAGTTAACCTGTCTTCTCTGCCAGCAGACTGTAGGGTTAGTTTTTATTCTTTCCATCAGATCTTTTATGTAATTGCATGTAGCCTTTATTTCTGCCTAAAGAATCAAAATTTCAAAAGGGTAAATGAATAGAGGTTTCAGAAGTATCGTAGACTAGGAAAAAAAGATTCAGAAATGAGAGGGAAAATTACTTTCAGAAGCAGGGCCTAAGTTTTAAGCAGCTCTTTTATTAATCTGAGGATTTAGAAGAAAATGAACAGAGGAATCCAAGGGCAGTGAGCTCAGAGAGAGAGAGAGACCTGGCCTGCCTGTGTCTGTCTTCAACCACGTATAAATGTAAATCAGATTGCAAACTCTATGACATCCACAGCTAATCTCTCTGCCAGGTTTGGTGGCGCACACCTATAATCCCAGTACTCCAGAGGCTGAGGCAGGAAGATTGCCACAATTTTGAGACCAGTCTGGCCTACATGGTGATTTAAGGTCAGCCTGTACTACAAAAAAAGAAAATTACACAGCTTATATCTTGATTAGAAATAATTTGTTTCTCCAAAATTTCATAGCATACTTTTTAGCTTTGTTAAACAAAATAAAAAACCAATTACTTGATTTAGGTTTTGTTTGTTTGTTTGTTTTCAATGGAGAGAGAGTTGGAAATGGCCCAGGGTTTTGCACATGCTCGGTAAGCATGCTATCTCAAAACTACATTCCCAGCTCTAGTTGTTTATATTCAATTCATTGACTGATTCATTGATTCATTCAACAATTCATTGCTGACTGTATGCAGACACTGCCCTAAGTTCGGTAAATATGATGGTAAACAAGACAGATCCTTTCTGAGTATTAAAGAGCTTGTTCATGTGTGGGCTCCTGTGGAGGATGGGAAGGAAGACAGGCAACAAACACATAAGACAATTTCAAAGAGAGATCAGGCATCAGGCTGACAGTAGAACAAAGTGACCACGGCCAGGACTGGGCAGGGGGCTCAGGTAGATTGGATGAGCAAAGCAGAGTTCAGGTATTTAATGTGGTTTGTAGTTTAGATCACACTGGCTGCTCTGTGGAGAAAGATTTCTGGGGTATCAAAAATGTAGGGGTGCAGCTCAAAGATGGTGGTGGTTGGGGTGAGGGCAAAAACAGAAGAGTGTAATTTCAGGGTACACTTTTCAGGCAAAGTCACCAGGTCATTAATAAATTGAATGTGGCAGATCACGGGAGGAGACTAGGGGAGGAAAGGTGGTACCTCGGTGTTGGTGTGCACTGGTGGGGAGCGGCTCCCCCGGGGAGATGGAGGGGGCTCAGTCGGCTTAGGGAAGAATCAGTGCTTCTGCTTTGGATGTGCTGGATTTGGGAGGCCTGTTAGGTGGCCCGGGGTAACCCAGTGTTCACGTAAGTCCACGAGTCTGGAGTTTAGGAGAGAGGTCAGAGTGGAGGGTGTTGATTTAAGGGTGATCATCAGAGATGCTATTTAAAGCTGTGATTCGATTACTGAGGGAAAGGATAGTTAGAGAAGGCCAACAGATGAAGCCTGCAAAGAGTGAAAATATTTAAACAACGTTTTCCCTACAGTGAATTCCACCTACTTCTCTAAAAATGTATGCAAAATGTCAAAATTACTACTTCAGTGGGAAATAATGTATACTATAAGGTACTAAAGTGACAGCTAAGAAGAATGATTTTTTTTCTATTTGAATTTTTTTGTGTCTATGAGAGATATGTGTGTCTTATTGGTTAGACTGGGCCCATGAGAAGTTTTATTTTACCTTATTTCTAACAGAAGTTTGATTTCCGGTAGATTTTTGTCAGGTGTCTTGCTAAGCACATGCAGTGTAATGTTCTAATTCTCACATGTTTTATGTGAGTCCTAACTGCTGGTTTCTTTTTTGTTAATCATTTTTTTCCTTCCCTAGTTTCTCTTTCCTTTTGAACAATATCTTCCTATTTCACAATATCTATTACACATTTTGGTCTTTTTTTACTCTTTTGGTTTCTCATGCCAAGGAGACAATGCAATATTTATACAAGTGTGTCAGACCTATTTAATTTAAGAGTATGGCCTAAAGGCACATCCATTTACTTAGAAGTGTCTCAAGTTTATCCTTCTTCGTGGCTGAATAGTACTCTGCTATATTAAAAAACCCACATCTTTTTTTTTTTTTTTCCAATTCCTTGATTGGTGGACATTTGGGTTGTTTCAGAGATTCAGCTATTACAAACCATACTGAGATAAACATGGACATGTATACATTGCTGTGGTGTGATGCTTTTAATTCCTTTAGGAAGACACCAAAAAGGGGAATAACTGGCTCAAATGGAATCTCTAGTCTAGTTTTTTGAGGGATTTCCACACTGATTTCCACAGTAGTTGCACCAGTCTACACTCCCACAAACAGTGGACAAAGGTTTCTTTTCCCCCCGCAGCCTCTCCAGCATTTGTTTTTGGTTGATTTCTTGATGGTAGACATTCTTTCTGATGTGAGATGAAATCTCAGCACTGTTTTAATTTGCATCCCTCCAATGACAGTAATACCGAACTTTTAAAAAATTATATTTATTTGCTGCTTTTGCTTCTTCATCTGAGAAGTGTGTATTTATTTCAAATGCCCATATTTGGATGGGTTTGACATGGGGGGGTCTGATTTGTTGCAATTCTTTTTATGTTCTAAATATCAGTACTTTGTCTGAGGAACAGCTTGCTAAAATATTTTCCCAGTCTGTGGGTTATCTTTTCGATTTCTTTTGCCATATAAATAGGATAATATTCCAGTTGTTGATTGTTTGTAGTATTTATGATGTGATCAAGGTTTTGTTCATGAAGTATTTGCCTACAGCTATGTCTTCAAGACTTCTATGTAGTTTATCTTCCAGTAGATTTAGTGTTTCTGTTTTAATATTTAGATCTTTGATCCGTTTTGAATTTACTTTAGTGCATGATGAAAGATATGGATCTGGTTTTAGTCTTTGGCATGTGGAAAGCCAGTTTTTCTAGCACTGTTTAGTAAGGCTGTCCTTCTTCCAGTGAAGGCATCTGGCCTCTTCATCAAAGATAAGGTGGTTGAGTATGTTTGGATTTTTTTCTGCATCTTCTAATCTTATCCATTGATCTTAAATCTGTTTGATTGCCAGTACCATGTTGTTTTTCTCACAGTAGCTTTGTAGTATAATTTCAAGTCTGAGATTGTGATGCCCTGTGTTACCTTTGTTATCTAGAATTGTTTTTGCTGTTCTAGGTAACTTCTGGTTTCAAATGAATTTTAGGAATTTTTTCTAGTTCTATGAGATATGCTAATGGTATTTTGATTGTGATTGCATTAAATCTATATCATAATTTTGGAAATGTGCCATTTTCATTATGTTGGTTCTTCCTACCTGGGAGCAAGGAATATCTTTCCATTTTCTGATGACCTCTTCAGTCTTTTTCAGAGGACTATAGAGATATTTTACTTCCTTTTAGATTTATTCCTAAGTATTTCATTTTTGGGGATGCTATTGTGGAAGGTGTGTTTTCCCTTATTTTCCTCTTTTATTGAGTTTACTGTCTGTGTATAGGAAGGCTATTAATTTTTGAGTGTTGACTTTGCATCCAGTTGTGCTACAGAATTTGGTTATTACATCTAAAAGTCTTTGGTGGAGTTTTTGAAGTGTTCTATGCAGAGTTTCATGTCATCCACAAATAATGATAATTTAATTTCTTCCTTTACTGTCCTTAGTCCTTGGATTTCTTTTCCTTGTCTAATTGCTCTGGCTAAGATTTTGTGAACTATATTGAATAGCAATGATAGTGGCCATCCTTGTCTTGTTCTTGATTTTAGAGTGAAAGCTTTCCATTTAGTATGCTGTTGGCTGTTGGTTCATCCTAGATGAGTTTTGATTAGATTGAGATAAAGATCATCTATTCCAGTTTTCTGTAGGATTTTTCTCATGAATGATTTTGGACTCAGTAGATGCTTTTTCTGCATCTGTTGAGACAATCACATGATTTTTGCTTTGGCTCTGGTGATATGGTATATTATATTTATTGATTTGTGTATGTTAAACCATCTTTGCATTCTTAAGATGAAACTTAACTTGGTCCAACGTGGTGGTTTCTTATGACAAATTAACATTCCATTTTGAGATTTATTTGTCTTAAACTTCCATTCCTTTACCAAAAGGATACTGCATTAATTTGAAAGGTAAATCAAGTAAAATATGTAATATATATACATATTATAATACATGTATATATTATATATATTGCATATTTTGATCATGTTTAGATTCTCAGGGCACCTCTCTTTCTAATTAGCTGAAGTGTTTAAGCTTATTTAATGATAATGTGTCTGTAATCACTCTTATGTGTTATTTTAAGTCTTCCTGAGTCACTGATTTTGTTTTATGTTTATAAAAGAAGAGATACATTTTCAAGGTAACAGAGAATTGCATATTAAACAGCTTCTAAAATTACAAGTATCAAGTAGAAATTTTTTACATAGTGAACAAATGGCATAAAAGGGTTGAATATTATGTGCCACTGATGAAAAAATAAACTTTTGAAGTCTAGACTCAAAAACTCTAGGCTTGTTTTAAGAGGCAAAATTCAAGGAGTGTATGTGCGTGTGTGTGTGTGTATAATTACTAAGTGCCCATCAGGTTTTATGCTGGTAAATGTTTTATAGTCTCTAACTATATCTAAGGTTGTGTTTTTAATGGCTTTACTGTTTAGAATTTAATTTTCCTTTTCTGTGCCCACTGATCACTCTCCTCCTGCTTGCCAGTCCAGAACTTTCCTCTTGAGTGGCCACAGTTAAGAAGGTTGGAATTCAAGGGGCAGAACTCTCAGACCTGTGCCAATATAAGCAGTAATGAGGAAGCAAAAAGTTTACAAACCAAAAGGAGAAAGCTAGCATGTTAACATGAAGAATGTGGCTCATAGAATATGTTGCATAGACAATGACATTGGAAATACTAAACTTCTGACCTCACTTTCCTACTGCATGGGGTGGAAAGGAAAATCCTTTCTCTGTGGTTGGGTGGATCCTTATCTTGATAATGAAAATGGTATATCAGTGCTGAATATTATCATTTAGGACCAAACACTTTTCAATTAAAAAAAATTTTTTTTTTCTACAGGAACCTGTCACACTCAAGACTAGTTCAGCTCTATGGGGTGTGTATACAGCAGAAGCCCCTTTATATTGTGACAGAATTCATGGAGAATGGGTGCCTGCTCAACTACCTCAGGGACAGAAAAGGAACCCTTGGGAAGGAAATGCTGTTGAGCATGTGCCAGGACATATGTGAAGGAATGGAATACCTGGAGAGGAACTGCTATATTCACAGAGATCTGGTAAGCATGGTGCACATTAACTTGTTCTATGTAGAGCATCTGTGTTTGGAAGGACATGACAATTACTTCAATACTTGGAAGATCATATCTTTTGGCTTAGTTTTTAAACAATCCCCTCTTCAAGCCATTTTTTGGTAAAGTATAACTTTATATTAACTTGCCCATTGATGATCGAACTATTGTTAATACTCCTTGAAATAAGTAACCACCTAACCCATGAACTAAAACTGACTTTCCTTCTCTTTTTCTCTCCCTTCTTTCTTTTTCTATGTCTTCCTTTCTACCATTAATCAGACAGTTTCCAAGTGCTTAGGATAAGCCAAGCACTCTGCTAGGCACTGGAGATGGAGCAGGATCCAAGTTCCTGTATTTTTCACCTGGGGCTGAAATTGTCCCCACATACAAGTGCTTTGGTTCTGACCTTACTGCCAGAACATTGCAGAACATTGCATTATTGAAAAGACTAGAAATATTAAACCACACTGTTGTGCAGTGCTCCCAACATTCCTCTTTTAAAAACAGCTGTCTTGCACCAAGCCAAATGCTGATACCACTATTTCCCTGTCTTGCTACCTCTCCTTGAGTAATATGTTCTGGTTCATTCCACATTTATTCAGGATATTAATATTCTTTCTCTACATCTGTACTTGTATTGTTTCTAAGTTTAGAAATTGATTCAAGTGAGAATCAAGTGATACACTAAGAAATCCCTGGAAGCAATCCTGTGTTTCTGTTGTACATGATCCACAGTGAGCACACTGCAGTGTTCATCATTCAGACTGGCATATTTTGGAGAGAAGAAGGAAGCGCAGTTACGTGGGGACACCCTGGGGAGTATGCGTGTACTATCCGTGACTTAGACCTCCCCTGGCACTTATTACTCATCTAGTAGTTGTTTATGTTCTTGATGAGCACTGGATTCTACATGGTGGAGACTTCTGAGATGGAGAAAGTGGGCCAAAAGCATAGGTTGCAGAACAGAGGCTCTCAAACTTCAAACTTTGCTGTGCATTAGAATCACTGTGGCATTTTGAGAAAAATCACCATACCCAGGCCTCTCCGCAGACCAATTAAATCAGAATCTCTGGAGATGGAAGCAAGGTATCAATATATTTTGAAAATTCCCCTGGTGAGTTCCATAGGCAGCGGAGACTGAGAACCATTGCGCTAGAGTTAGATGGACTGGATTAAGATCTTGCCTCTAGGTTTTTACTAGCTGTATGACCCTGGTCAAGCTAGCTAACCAGTACAACTATCCTTAACTATAGCATCTGCCTCCTATGGGTTTGTTGGGAAGGATTACATGAATCGCAGTGTAATTCCTTGAAACCACTCCTGGCCCACAGGAGAGTTCTGCCACGCTAACTGCTGTCCCGGGAGATAGGCCCCGTGTTTCAGCCCTGATGACACATTCCCCAGGACCCAGCACACAGGAGCGATTGAACAGATTTTGAATGGATGGATAGAATACCAGTGCCACTTAGTTCACTTTTCTGGCCTCTGCAGTTTATCTTTCCTAATGAGAATTATAACTCAAAACTCAGTTGTGTAACAGGTCTACTGGCTCCTGGTGGCTTGCCACGGATCCTCCTATCCTTGGCTTCTTCCTTGATTGCTCATTTTCTTTGTGTTCTATTTCATTTACCCTCATGCCAGGTAAAATATATCAAATAACCAAGGAGTGTTTCTGCTGTCAAGAACTTTTCTTGTGCTGTGGCTTTGAGGGCGTGGTTGGTACTTGCTGGCATCTTGGAAGCAGGTCGCTTCTGGCTTATCTTTTCATGGTTCTTGCTTTTGTGACTGGATCCACTGACCCACAAAAGTGCTGAGAAGAGAAAAATTCTATCGAACTGTTCACCTGTATGAGGCTAAATAGCCAAGCCAATGATTTTATTGACTAAGTTGATGAAAATAGATTGTTTTGGCTCCAAACAGAGTGCCTCTCAATTAGGTAGTATTACACTTGGTGCACTGTGGTAATTTTAAGAAATGCAAAGTTATCATTATAATTATATTCCATGAAATGTAAGTTTAACAAGGATAATTACTTAATTTATATTATCTGCTGGAGATTCCAAAAGTATGAAATGGCTCTGTCTTGTCTGCCATGTATATTATCATGTTTTATTATTGATCATGTATATTATCATGTCATGTTTTATTTATGCCACGATTCATAGTTTATCATCTGTTAGATTGAGTTCATCGTTATCTTTATCAAGGCTATTTCTTGAGAATCAATTTTTTTAAAACTAAATATTTTTAAAGGTAAAAGTGTTAACATTTTTGTGTTTTGTTGAAGAATCTTTAAATTTCTCTTATAAGAGCAGGCTCTTAACTCATGTATACCCTGACAGCTGTCACTATCTAGACAATGAGGCTGTCTACACAAAGGTAGAATGGGGCTCAAATATACTAGCAAAGGGGGAGTAGAAAGTCTTGAAGGAAAAGCTTGTAGTCTCATTTGGATTATTTTTCTTTTTTCTATAGGCAGCAAGGAATTGTTTGGTTAGCTCTACATGTATAGTAAAAATTTCAGACTTTGGCATGACAAGGTATGTGATGTGTATATTTATATAGCTATCTATGTATATTTTGTTTACTTATAAGAAGGAATCTTATATTTATCTACTGACAAATTGAAGATGCTACTGGCCCTGCTTTTTTTGCTCTGGGAGAAGATTGGTGAGATTGACTCAGAGTGGATTTCAGCACGTGTACCAATTTTAGCAGCGAGGCACTGTTGATTTACTGTTGGCTATTCTTTTTGTCTTCCCTCAGGACATTATTAGCAAAAATAGGGCAGCTCTTAAAGCGAAAAGAGTTTTTCAGTCTACTAAGGTGTTTAAGATTAAGAAAAGTGCTGGTTTTGTAGGTGTATATTTTTGAAAGAAAAAGAAAAAAATCAGATTTTTCTAGGTCATCATCAAACCCTTCTATTATCAAATTTAACAGTTTAAGTTCATAAATGAAGATTGTGAAAAATGTAACCATCTGTTTTTACAACTCAAAGTTTACATTTTGAGCCCATTGTTCTTGTAGAAGTTTAACAGATGTGCATTCGGGATTTCTCCCTGACTTTGCTTAGCATCAAAGTTCCAGTCCTAAGTATCCCCCGGGACCATGTCCTGGAAAGGCACTGGCTTGTGTGGCTCTGCTGTCATCTGTGCCCCATGGCATCTTTGCAGCCACTTCCTTCTGTCTTGGCTGTGGTTGGCCAGCCTCAGAAGTGCCTGCCACCCATCTGCACAATGCCTTCGGAACTGGCATTCTCTGTGATTGGAAAACTCCGTGGGGCTAAGGTTGTGCTCACCTGGGCACATCCACAGCCATGTGTTCTTCAGAATCTTTCTGCCTTTCCCGGGCCTCTAACCAGAAAGAGGGCCTGTGTCCTGTTTTGATTTTAAGTCCTGTCAACCTCATGTGAGACTGGAAGCTTCTTTCCTACTGTGTGTCCCAGACAACCCTTAAAGGGTGCAAGGTGCAGAACCCACCAATGTCTAACACTCTCCCCTTTCCTTTCTGGTTTCCCACTCAACCTAACTCAAGGGAACTTTTCCCAAACAGATGGGTGGTAGCGGTGAGATTTCACTCTTATTCATGACCCATTTTCCCAAATACCTCATTAAGAACTCAGTTCTTTTCTCAAAAGTCTGGACTTTAGAAGCTCAACATCTATGGAAAATAACTTTCCCTTTGTTTTCTATTGCTTATTTTTTATTTTCAAGTAAGTAGATTGACCTCTGACTCAATAAAGGAGGGCACAAAGGTGGAGTAAGATAGAGAGCACGGAGACAACATCAATAAATAATTCAAGAATATTATATTTTATACACAGGAGCAATTAGCTCATGTTGGTTTTGGCTGTCCTCTCCAGATTTTTGCATTTGCATAGTCCTACATACAATTCTCAAAAAACACAGCTTTTCATGTTTTTGTTTTTAAAGGAAATTGTAGTTATTCCCAATTTCTTTTTATATAGGGCCATTTTAATGCATTAGAGACCATGTCATGACAGGAGCATTAAGTTAATCTATTTTTATCCTTGTTTGTGTTCCACAAGAAATAATGCACATGAAGGAAAATATGGCATCTAACTTTGAATTCATTCTTTTCTAATGTAAGAAAAGTGCTTTCTTATTGTGGTTGTTGTTAGGAACATACAACATGTTTCTTTGTAGAGTTAGGAATATATCGCAAAGAACATAAACCATGGGCCATATTTTGGCCTGATGAATTGTTATCATTTTCTGAGACCCAGTGGAATTAAACACAGTGAGACTTGGTTTGGGAGAAGACACTGTGTAGGATAATTTCACAATTTGCTAATGAGAAGAGAAAGTGCACAGACCTTTCTGGGGTAAAATACTCTGTCTTTCAGCAACTCATAGTTAAGCAAAAGGATTAGAAGTAAATAAGACTTAGAAGTAATTAACACGGTGTGCTCTGAATCTCACGACTGCAGGTATGTCTTGGATGATGAATATATCAGTTCTTCTGGTGCTAAGTTCCCAATCAAGTGGTCCCCTCCTGAAGTTTTTCATTTTAACAAATACAGCAGTAAATCAGATGTCTGGTCATTTGGTAAGTACATTTGATGTTCATTTGATTGAGCATGGTTTAATATAATGGATAATCTTTTTTTATGTTTAACTTTGATGTCTTAATATAGCATTTAGAAAGTCTTCTTAACCTGTGCTCTCTTAGCCATATCCAGACTGTTTTTGGCAACTTGAATTATATACCTTCTGATGTAAGTCAGCCTCTGAATTTTTTCTTTCCCAGATTAACACTTTCTATAAAGCCATAACAGTATACTAGAAACAAGAACCTAGAAAACACACTCAGCCACTGACTTGATAGAAAACATATTTTCCATACCATTGACTTGATAGAAAATGATCTTAAGGCCATTACTGAACTTTAAGTGTATTTAATAAATTTCACTGTCTAACTAAGCAGCTTGACTATTTTCAACTGTTCAGTTGACTTCCCCATTGTAAGCCCTAGATTTTAAAGCATGGCCCACCTCAATTACTTTATTACCTTCAAGTTTTGTGGGATGTGACTATAGGCTTCCTTAGGATCTGTTTACTAATATTTTCACTGATTCATGTTCTTAACTGAGAAAAAGACACTGGTCCAGGGCAGGTGGTTCTTTGAGTTGATTTTCAAAACATGGCAATAAATGTGTAATCTATATATTCACTTTTATCCAAACCTTCTTAAGCGGCTCTGGGTTTGGATAGACTCCTGGCGCTTAGAAGAATGTGAACTTTATTGTCTACAGTAAAATTAAGCTTATCATCTCATGAACTCTCTACTGACATATGGGAGACTCAGGTAGAAGTTGTGAGGCCACATCTTAGAGACCTATGTATAGCAAAACAAGGACCTCCCTAAGTGGTTATGAAAGAATAGAGCTCTCTGAATTTCACTTGTCTCTCCTTACTTGGACAACGAGCTTCTTGAGTGGATGGACTGGTTATATTCCTATGGAATGCTCTGTTCCTAGCATAGGTCTGGTCTCTCATCCATATCTAGGATTTGTAGAATAGGCGAATAGTTAAATGAACATAATATATTCATTCTTGAAGAACCTACATTAATCAATCAACCTGTGAATTTTTAAATACTTCTATAGAGAGTCCCTGTGAGAAAGTATATGGCTCTGCTCAATAGTCTAATCTTTCAGTGGTAAAAGGTGAACTGGTGCTGGAAAAATCTTGGTTTTAGCAGGTAGCAGAAGCTTATGCATGTGTCATTTTCTATGCAGTGGCAAAAGATTCATTGATTTCAGGGTGTGGGTGCATGAGCAGTACTTAGAAATAAAAATGCCACCAGCATTTTCATCCAGAAAGGAGTCCTTCAAGACTGACCAACAAAGAAAGGTGTGTTGTTTCTGGGGTTATTTTCAAGTTACAGGCCTCTTCAAAAGCTCAGGTGTGCACACCTGGCTTCCTGGCTGGAACTCTTCTCATTCCTGGTAATTGTAACTCTGGTGCTGGAGGAGAAAAATAGCTCCTTAGAATGTGAAGCAAGCAGTGCTTTAGTTTCAGGTAAGCATTGCTCTCTAACCCCTCATTTTCATGCATTTTGTTTGTAGGAGTTTTAATGTGGGAGGTTTTTACAGAAGGAAAAATGCCTTTTGAAAACAAGTCAAATCTGGAGGTCGTGGAAGCCATTTCTAAAGGTTTCCGGCTCTATCGTCCTTGCTTGGCACCCATGTGCGTCTACGAAGCCATGTACAGCTGCTGGCATGAAGTAAGTGTCCCTGCCTTTCCCGGGTGGCAGTGCCAGCCTCTGAGGGCAAACCTGACTATCCCTAACATTACCCAGGACTCTAATAGAAAAAGGAGTGTCTCTTTCTTGCTAATGATCCTGAGAACCAGAAGCACAGGTTCTGTTTAAAACTCCCCTGACAGAACTGTTAATCCATTTTGTTTTTAACAATGGACCTTCAGCTGAGTTTTACCAATCTTACCTGAGGTTGCTTTCTTGCAGAAATCCTTGGAAGCCTCAGTGACTCATTGTTTTATTAAGGATTGGTCAGTAGAACTAAGGGCAGAAACAGGTTTGTTCAACTTCCAGGTTGAAAAAAAGAACAGTGTTTTTATATGTTCCATTCCACTTTCATTTACCTTGCTTTTCAAGGCTAAAAATAATGGGTTTCATCTCTCTGTGGCATGTAAGACTCCTGATAGAAAGATTAAAGCAGAATAGAAATGGAAGTGGAATGCATGCCAGCAGGCACCACTCAGGAAATCATGCCCAGGAGCCCAGTTTCTTCTCTGTTGAAATGCAAAGCTTAAAAATAAGGCCTGAAGGGCCCACTTCTGCTTCTTCTGGGCACTGACTCCAAATACCCTGCCTCTTTCCAGAGTCCTCTGTGATTTTGAGACCTCTGCTCTTTGCAAATAACAGTCATAGTTTAGAAAAATTACAGTTTGATAAGGAGTTTCCTTTCACCTAAAAAAAAATCACTTGATTTGCAATCTATAAACACTGAAAAAGTCAACATTTCAAGAGTTATGTGGTTGCTCATGTTGCTACCATTAAATTTATAAAGATTCCCAATGTAGAAACATATCTTCCCAGTGTAGGAACAAATTTTATGTGTGATTACTTTCTCCATAAGGAATCTTGAAAGATAAAAAAAGATTAAATAAGCTGTTAGTAGCAATGTCTTTGCAGTAACAATACAAATCGTTCAGGAGGGCAACCAACGTGGTTATGATGGTTTGGTTTGCAATTTTTCAACTTTACAATGGTGTGAAAATGATATGTATTCAGTACAAGCCATACTTTGAGCTTTGATCATTTCCTTTGCTATGGGTAGGGTTAGGATTGTCTCCTTGGATGCCTGGCCAAGGATGGTAGTTCCCAGTCAGCCGCTGATCACAGGAATAAACAACCAATACTCTAAGAATGCTTAGGTTGGTAAGCTGTAACTGTAGGTTAGGTATATTAAATACATTTCGGGGGGAAGTTGATCTTTTTGTATTAGTACATGTTTGCAGTGCATAGTGATTATATTCATTGTGGGGAGTTGGTACATGTCCATAACACCTCTTAATTCTTTCTTCATCCCCTGTCCCTTCCTTCCTCCTCTTCTCTCTCCACCTCTGGGTCTCCTTCCCTTTTGCAAACGTTGGAGGACTTAAAGTGAAGAGCAACTCTGTATCACTGTTCATGAAACAATACACACGCCCATGCTCATTGATACTTCCTGAGCTTTTATGTATCTGTGAATATGAGATAGAGAAATGGAAGGTATAAATAGAACATTCACAGAATGACCAAGAAAATGATCTTAGTTTCCAGTTGAAGTGGGAAAGTTGATTAAAACAGTGTTTTGGTTGATTTACTTGTTTGCAAAATTTGAGTTTGCCTGTGACTTTTCCTCAAGTACTTAGATGTCTCTAGACTCAAATGTGATTATGTTCCTATTGGTAGTACGTCTCATAACTCTTAACTGAACTTCAGCCTCCTTAGAAGGCACCACAGTTCAAGTTGGAGTCTTTTTTTTTTTTCCACGTCAGATGGGTAATGTGCCGATGTCATAGCAAGGTTCAGAGGAGGCACAGGTCATGCATGGAGCATGAACACCCAATCATCACGCTTATGAACCTGAGGATCATCAAGCTGGAGTCTTAAGGAGGACCCTCACATGGGCTCTGTCGTCTTCTGCTCTGTCCTTTGTACTGATGCTCCATAAGGGATCTTGAAAGATGTAGAAAAGGGTTACGGGGAGGAAGGAGTATGACCTCACATGTGAAATCACTCAAATAGATTTCCGAGAAGAAAGAGCTTTCTATAATGATGGAAACATTTATAATCTATGCTGCTTAGTAAGGTAGCTCATCAAACTTTGGAGGACGGGAAAAGTGGTTAGTGTGACTAAAGAGCTGAATTTAAACATTTAGTTTTAATAAATTTCAGTGGCCACACGTGGCTAGTGTTCATAGTTCCGGCTATTTTATGTTTGCAGTGCTCTTTAGTATTACATTTTCACATTTCTGTGTCACTGACTGACAGCCTGCATGTCTTTCTCTGCCTTTGTGGAGTATCAGTCTGCAGCCAGGTCCCCGCCGGCCCAGCTGGTTCCACAGATGGCGTCTGAGTGAGCGAGAAGCAGAACTGATCACCTGCATTTCCCTTTTCCAGAGCCCTCAAGGCCGCCCCACATTCACCGAGCTGCTGCAGGGTCTCACAGAGATCGCAGAAACCTGGTAACCTGGAGAGGGAGGCCAACCCCAGGAACCCGCAGCAGAGCTGTCACTGTCGCTGCAGGAAGTCATGGGCGGCACTGCTGAGGAGGAACATCTTCTTTTCGATGCAGTCTTCTTGGAAACAATACAGAGATCACAGCCTTTTCAAACTGCTTAAATTTGAGAATACTCTGGCAATAGTTTTTCTGCATGTGTGAGAGGAATTTCAAAACATGTATCTTTCTGTAATATTTTTCATGTCCTCTCCGTGAAGATGGGGAAAGGCTGGAAGGCAGCCTTTGTGGGGCAGGCCAGAGCCCTTGAAGGTGCAGGAATGCCCTCCTCTTCACAAGCCCAAGGGAACTTCTGTCTCCAAAAAGAGTGATGTTCACTAATTCAGCAAATCATGCACAGGAGTGGAAGGAGTCGCACCCAGCTCATAGCATAAAGGAGCCTCGCGGCAGAGTTGCACGCTTTGGGGTTATCTGGAGCCTTAGAGGAAACACGTCTTTAAGAACCACATGAATGTGAGCATTCTGGGAATGCCTTTTGTAAATCTTTACATGTTATTTAATAAACTTTTTTTCACATATCAGACTATAGAGGACAAGTCTGGGATTTTGAATTTGAGATGAAGCAATGAGAAATCATGGTTGAGTCTTTTTTGTTTCCACGCAATATTGTAGGAATGATTGGACATTGATCTTTATCATTCTGAGTTCCTTAGAGGTCCTGTAAGAAATATGGTATTACAGACAGTGAGATTACAGTGAGGTGTAACACAGGAGCCTCGTATTTCAGTCTTGTCCTACCTCTCATCTGATTCTGGGAAACATACTTTACAGTACTCATTGGAGCCCAAATTGCTGGTGACCATTAAATCATATTCCTTCTTCTCCTATGGCAAGAGTGATATCTTTGGGTATCAAAGGTGCTCAGTAAACGTCCATCATTTTTTGTGAGCATCAGGTACAAGAGGAGAGTTGATCACTGAAGTGGTAGTCTCAGAAATGTTTGCATAAAATACTGAGAGTTTCGTATCCCTTCAACTATGACGCTGGCCATGATAAGAAAATACAGAAGACTCTAAATAGGACAGTAAACAGGGAGACAGAGTTTGTGGAATGGGAAGGGGATTGGAGATGGGTGGAGAGGGCAGGACCAGGAAGGAAAAGAGAAGTGACATTAAAACTCAGTGAGTACATGTTCCCATTTCCCAAGAGTGATGTCACTATCATGTACTGGGAACATATACCAGTAAAAATGTTAGGTACAAAAACACAGATAAGACGCATGAAATCTGGCTCAAATGGGACAAGTAAACAGCAAAAGATGTGAGGATGGAGGTTAATATTGTGACAAAGGAGATAAGGTGCCATCAATAAATGCAGTAAGGTGGATTTCCAGATTTCACCAAACTTGAAAGTTTAATGCTTTATTTTATTTTTTAAATTAAGGTTATTGGTACATTTTGGATTACATAATGATCACATTCACCACAGGGAATTTGTATCTGTACATGATGTAGCTTGATTTTTTTCTCTTACTTTCCTGCCCTCCTTTCAACTCTTCCCCTCCTTAGGTAAAAAAGCTTTGTTTCTACTTTTTTCTTCTTTTCTTGGTTTTTTTCTTTTCCCTTCTTCCCGACCCTCTCTCCCCAGTTCCCCTTCCCATTTGATCATTTTCTTCCTATTTCAAAATATCCATTACACATTTTGGTCCTTATTTACACTTTTGATTTCTCACACCAGAGAATGTGGTATTTACACGTGTGTCTGATTTATTTCAATTAAGAGTATGGTCTCAAGGTCGTCTTTACTCCTCTAAAAACACGTAACAGACAAGCCAAGCCTCAAAAAGCGAACACTGAAAAGCTAAGAATGAGTATAGGACCGCGATGGTGAACTGTTTAGAGTTTTCAATGATGCAGATTTACCGTAGGTGTACACTATACTGGGGTAGGGCGTCTACTATCATTACAGAGGTACAGAGTGTAGAACAAACAGTGACACCCAGAGAAAGGCACTGTGAGAATCCTATGACACAGCTAGCACTTTTAAAAGTGTGTGTTGGTGAGGTGAGACAAGCCCAATGCCTTTTGTTTTAAGGAAAGTTTGAGACATCAAATTACTGTAACTGAACCTCTCTCTTACAACACTTCAGATAATGTGTAAATTTGAATATCTTTGGACAGAGATTTACCATTCACTGTCTTGCTAAAGAAAAGTTTTCTAAGAGGTAGTTGCACAGCTTCACCTGGATGAGAACTATGGTCTGCAACTATGTTTTACTATTTGTCATTGAATTAGGTCTTCTTCTCATCTCCCTAGAGAAGATGCATGCTTGCTGGGGAACTGGCTGTGTTATGTACGGGTCACCTGATGCAACTGATTCCCTGCCAGTGTCCCAGCCTCTTCTGCCTCACAGATTGCAGTGTACACAGTGAATGTCCCCCCTGCTGTCCCATATTCTGAACTGGGCAAAAGCAAACCTAAGTTCTTTGTAGGCAGGCCTATGTCTGGACGAGAAAGGGTACAGTCCCACTCTTAAGCCTTTCACATATGTGAAGAAAAGTGCATAATCTATGAATATAGAGCTTTACTAAAGTTCAGAAATCTATGTAGCCAGACTCAGATCAAGAAGTGATCCCATTCCAAAGTTTCAGAAGTCATTCTCATCCAAGTCAGTGCCTCCCCAAAGTAATTAATATCCTGATTTCCAACATCATGGACTGGCAAGGACTATTTGAATTTTCTATAAATGGATTTCTATGTTGTATGGTCTTTTGAGTCTGGCTTCTTTCACTCAGTCACACTGTATGTAGTTGTGTTTAACTTCATTGCTGCATTGTTTTTCACTGTATAATTATTCCATATATTTATTCAATTGTGAATAGATATTTGGATTACTTACTATTTTTAAAATTCAGATCTGTACTGCTGTAACCATGTGGAAAAAACATCTGTATTTCTTATAGGATTATGACTAGGAATGGAATCACAGGAACAAAGTGCTTGCTTTTGCAAAGGGTGTCAAACAGTGTTCTTAAGGGAGCATAACCAAGGACACAAACCAGCAGCAGGGTTTAAGAATTTCAGCTGCTTTCCATCCTTAACAACATTTGGAATCATCTCTAAACCTTGAAAATAGCCTTAGAATTTAACAGGATGAGCTAGTTCATGATCAGCTTGGTTGAACTGGGCTGTGATATAATCTATAGCCTTTCCTCTGTATTGTCACCCTTGCGGTATGTTACATGTGTGATCTAAATATATTTTATGTGGGAGGGTTGAAAAGATTTGAGGTTGTATAGAAGGGAAGAACATAAAAGTGTAATACAGAGCACAAAAGGAAAATTCAAAATTTGAGAGATGAAAGTTGGATTTGCCATCCATGGAGGAATATATGCACGACCCCTCCCCATTTGTCTACTGGGATCTCTAATTGCCTTGTAAAGGGCCTGGGTCTTGTTAAAAGACGGATGAGAGTCTTGATACATAGGCCTGGAGAGAGTTCCATTGATTCACCTAATAGTGAATCAAGAAGGGCAGAGAAGGGAGAAACAGATGAAATACCTAGACATAGGACATTGCCGGAGGGTAGTAATGGCCGGGGAAGCAAGACTTCCTGTTCTTTTAGATTGTCCATCCTGTGATTCCCTCTTTCCCCATTACCTCTAGTCATTCAGTAGTCTGTTGGATCATGGGTGCTAGGTTTGGATTTTGTTGCAGGTGTGTAAAGTGCCTAAGCTGTGTATCATATCCGGTTCTATATGGTGCAAGGCAAAGACTATCAGAAACATGCAGAGGACTGTGGGGTTGGGGGCAGTGGCAGGGAGAGAACAAGGCCTCACCAAGAAGCAAGTCTCACGTGAACCAGCACCATTTGCAGGCCACCGGTGGCAGGGGGATGGCCAGACCCAAGCCTTTTCCCGTGAGTCCATGCCATTTGTGGAATGTGGTGAGAGAGAACATGGCCTCACCAAAAAGCAAATCCCTGCTGTGAACCAATGCCATGCACAGGCCACTGTCAGTGTGGGGACGGCCTGACGCAGCCCCTTGCCGGCTGGCAAACAAGAAGTACCAATCCCCCATCACCTCCACCCTGTAAGCTACAGGCTGATCCAGAGCAACACAGGCTGTGATGACAGCTATGGAGGTGAAATGCAGTTTGATGTTTGTGTGCTTTGGTGTTTCACTGACTTACAGGTCTAGGCCCGGTGGTCTGATCATTTGTTCAGAGGATAATGATACACAGTGTGGCATCTAGGGAGGATCGCCTTCTGAAGGTGATAGTCCTTGTGGATTCCCTATTGTCTTGTTTTGAGGTTCTATATGATTTTCATTGTTTTGCTGGGTTGGGTTTTATTCTCCTTTGTTTTGTTTGATGTTGTTATATCTGATGGCATGAGCAACTAACTCAAAAAATAGCAAGATAAATTATGGTAGCCATTTTGGATTTACTATTGTTTTGTTTGGAAGCCCTTTATTACATTCATTGTTTTCTTTTGATTGTTTTTGTTCTATTCTGTTCTGTTTGACTTTTACTATGTCTGAAGGCATCTTGCAGCTGTTTTGAAGACAACAAAAGGCATTTTGGTAACTACTATCGATTTCATAATGTTTTGAAGTTCTGAATCACACTGGATTGATTTGATTGGTTTTATTCTATTTTATTTTCCTTTGTTTTATCCTTTTTAAAATTAAAAAAAGCAAAAGAAATGTGCAGAATCCTAGAAAATAGAAGAAACTCCAAGGACAACAGTTTGCCCCTCACAACATATCTAAATCTTGGACCAGACTGTGCAAGTGCTACATTAAGAATGGGATAGAGGTCGGTCCAACCAATTTAGCTAGATTCTGAGGATAGAACCTCAGTCATGGATAAATGGGACAACCACAGAGTTCACATTTGGCTGACAGTTGTGTTAACAGATAACATCCAAACATAAGTAGTAAGAGATGCAGTAGAGGTTGTATAATAGAAAAAGTGGGGACCGGGACCAGGGTAGAGTCATTTCCCTGAGTGACACCTGGAGAAATATTTACCTGATCCTTTTGTGAAGAGGAGGTTGGATGCCAGGATACAGCTGGCCCTGGCCCTCTGATTCTGTCTGAATGCGTCTATGCTGACCATGAGCTCAGCCACTAGAATCCTGACTGCCCTCTGCAAGGCCATCTCCCCTAGTGTTCAGCCTCCTGAAACATCCCCGGGCCATCTTCCTATTCTCTGGGCTGCAGAGGTTCAGCTTTGACTGTTAAAGAAAATCATGTTGACACTCATTAAAATGCTAAGGAAGACTTTATCAATGTGATTGCATTAGGGATCAAGACCAGTGGGGGAAAAGACTGAGGTGTGAGCATTACAAGTACAGCTGGGAATTGATAGCTGAAGGGAGAGGGTGAGTGATGTATTAAGAAGTAGTAGCAAAGGTGGGACTTGCTGAACAGGCTTAACAAGATTCTAACAAAAGGCTGGTCAAGAATTCTGACAGGAAGGGTGGAGATTAGGAATGTGATCAGATAACCAGGGTAAGGGTGCTGTTGCTAAACTGACTAAGTAGCACTCTTATCAAAACCAGGCCAATGATGGCCAGA